AAAATTGGGTATGTCCAGTCTTTTGAAGTAGCCACTTAGTCACAAACGCTGGCCAAACTTAGCATTTTTCTTTGTTTTTTGCATTTTATTTACACAAAAACTGCACTTTTACTGGTGATTTCATCATCGGAATAAGTTTTACTGATTTAGAACACTCATATTTGTGTTCAACGAAGTCTCCTGAGTAAAACAATACCCCCCATGTACAGGTTTTATGGTGTTTTGGAAAGTTACATGGCAAATATAGGGCTAGCCAGATTGGTTTGCAGGACCTTTGTTGCCTTTTGAGACCAAATGGTAGTCCAGGAATGTGAAATAACCCCATCATGGCATACCATTTTCAAATGTAGACAACCCTGGGTATTCCAAATGGGGCATTTCCAGTCTTTTGTTGTAGCCACTTAGTCACAAACGCTGGCCACAGTTAGTGGTTTTATTTGTTTTTGTATAAATGTTTTGGTTTTTAATCTTTTTTTATATATATATAATACGTGCACGTGTATATATTATACATATATTACGCACACACATAATACGCACACACACTTTTATTTCCTATATATGTATAATATATTATAATTAAATAATTTTATAATATATTATACATATATAATGCATCTATGATTTCATCATAAGTGTATTTTGAGATATATATCAAAGTACACTTATAATGAAATCATATAGATGCATTATATATGTATAATATATTATAAAATTATTTAATTATTTTATAATATATTACACATATATAATATAGACATTCCTCACTTATTGACCGGGTTCCCTTCCTATGACCTGGTCGTAGAACAAATGGGTCGGTAAGTGAGGAGTTAAGGGATTCCCTGCTCTGGTGCATTTGTCTATGTTCAGGTAAACTTCCCCGAACATAGACGTATGCACCAGAGCAGGGAATCCCTCTAATCTAAGTTTTCCCGAACATATACATACGCACCAGAGCAGGGAATCCCCATGACGGCTTGCACTAACGCCTGGTCGTAAGTGTGAGCCGCGGTTAAACAGGTAGGTCGCTAAATGAGGACCACCTGTATATGTATAATATTTTTATTTTATTATTTTTTTAGCAGCCTGGGGGACTGCCTGACAGTCCCCCTGCTGGCAGCTCCTAGAGTCCTATTGCGGTGATGTGATCATGGTGATCACATGGCCATGGAGGGCCGGGGTGGCCAGAGCTGCTGTAGGGGGACTGCTGGGATCTCTGGCAGTCCTCCCCGACCGTGATTGACGCAGATCGTCGGTCCAGGGCTCCTATTGCGGACGTCCTTAATGACCGTTTTTTGTTGGATGTACCTAGTTTGTCCTCGGTCGTTAAGGGGAAATTATACATAGATATATATATAATTTAATTCTAAGTGTATTTTGATTTAAATATATATATATATATATATATATACATATAGATAGGTGATGCCTTGGCACTCACCTTACCGGAATAAATAAGTACCTTAGCCTGGGTGCAATCCAAGTGCGTCCAATATACAAGCAGAAAGAAGTCAGGATGCACACTCAGGTCTTGAAGACCTGAGTGTGCATCCTGACTTCTTTCTGCTTATATCTATATATTTATATCAAAATACAGTGAGAATAAAATGACATATTTATACACATAATTTTTAAAAATAATTTTTACAGTTTATTTTTAATTATTTGTCATAATATATAAAATTATATATATATATATATACACACGTGTGTAATTTTACTGTGTATTTTTATATTAATATAACGTTATATATACGTTATGACATTATATATAAGCTATATATATATAAACACATTATATATATATATATACATACACTTTTTTTAAACTTTTATTAACTATATTTTAATTTTTTTGTAACTTTATTTTTACTTTTCCACCAGCAGGGGGACTTTTGGGAGAGTCCCCCCAAAGAAAAAGACCTATTGCCGGCAGGGGAACGTTGCGATCGGTAAGTACATGGGGAAGGGAGGAGGGAGGGTATGGGTTAATTTATTTTTTTTATTAAAATTTCTTTTTTTCCAATATACTTTTTTTTATAACTATTACTGAGTGCCTTGACCCCTTGAGGCACTCAGTAAGGGTAAGAACATCTGAAGTCTGCAGATGGCTTCAGATGCTTTCCCTACACTGTCGGGCACCACCTGTGGTAAACCCGGATGTGATCGCTCCGGGGGGAGGGGAGGCGATCACTTGGGTTCCCGGCAGTGTAGGGGGGTATTTCATGATGCCTCGATATCGAGAAATCGTGGAATACCATCAGAGCGGCTGGAAGCAATCACAATCGCTTCCAGCGCTCAAAATAGCTGCGGACGTACCAGGTATGTCCAAGGTCCGTGTTACGGTTGCCTCCAGGCTGGCTGGAAGTTGGACCGCTTGGATATCCTGGTTCCCGAATTTGGAGAGGGGGAGGGCCGCTTAAATCAGCTTACAGTAGTAATTCCTGGAAATATAGAACATCCCACTAGCTAAAGCACAGCTAGGATACACTTTTCCCTACAACACGAGTCGAGGCTGCGAGTTGAGGGTAAAATGAACTGATTTAATGGCACTCAGGCGGGACAATTTATGCAACTTTCAGACCAAGGGACAGCCCCTTCTGGACCTGATGGTACACAGGACAATTACATATTTTATCCAATGGAAACACAGTGCAAGAGCCGGGTGGTCGGTCATTCGTATATATGAACGACTGGTAGAATGGGTTTGCATAAAACAAAATATCAAAGTGCAAGAAAAGCATCTGTAGGTGTCCGGCAGAGGGGATCTCTGTAACAGGCCGTTTTTTGTCGGATGTACCTGGTACGTCCGCGGTCGGGACGGGGTTAAATACACATATACATTTAACACAGAACAGGTAAGAAATATATTCAACCATGATTAAAGGTGCATTCTGTATTATGATGTGAGATGAGTTGACAGTGATCTCTTAAAGGATTTTCGTGTGGAGAAAGATTTGTGTTGAGGAGGTTGTTCTATACTTGCAGTGCTCTAGGAAAATGAGGATTGAGCTACTTTCTTCTCGTAATGGGGTATACTAAAGTGCTGGTACTGGATCTGAGATTATAGGAGGTGGGAACAGTCGGGAAAAGAATTCTACTTCCCAGAAAAGCTCTTAAACATAAGGCTGGAAAGATGGAGAATGTGTGTGGATTCAAGCAAAAGCTCTTCGAACATTTCATAACCAGGAAGTACACTGCAACACGCTGACATCAGGTTTTGCCTGTCTGCTGGAGAGAGAGATACTGGCGGGGAGATAATAAGAGGACGTTCGGACCGATCAACTCATATTATCCAGGACTCTGCTTACCAGCTTCTACAATAGTGAGCTGCCCATGATGGTTTTATTTGCAAGTTTTAATTTACATTTGGTAATAAAGTGTTTTCTGCTTTTACCTTCCGGTTGGTGATGACTCCATGTAACCCTTAATAAGATCCAACAATCTCAAGGGTCTGATCCTCCCTATGCTGGATAGTTTGGAGTGGTACTATAACCACTCCACAATTGTGAATTAAACATCTATAGAGTGTGCTTATTAAGATTGGTATACAGACTGTATTGCACTAGGTTTCTTTTTTATGTATTTATAGATACCGGTGACATAGCCATTCAAGGAATTGCAAGTATTTTTTTGTTCAATTGTCACGTTATGTGGTTTGTGACACACGTGGTTTTAAAATAATATTGCTATCCCACACTTAATTGTTTGGATATCATGGGGAGTATTTATATATTATCAAATAGATCTTTTAACTGTTTGCGCACCTACACTTCTTTTGGTTTACAATGGTGGGTCATGTAATTACATTGTAGCACAAAGCGGGAGAACAAGTTATACAACATAGTAAGTTTATGAAGGTGGGTTCGCGGCACAGGCACATACACTATATTCCCATATTTAATATCCGGCCTTGGCATCTGTTGCAAAATCAGCTTCCTTACCACGGGGCTTAGGCAGGATTTGTTTCTGTACAGGGCACCTAGTTTTGGAGAAAGTTTTCATGAGAGTTTTTCATGTGGAGACCAAAAGATAAATTGTGGTCTAGCAACATACCTAGATATTTGAAAGAGTGAACTGTGTTTTATTTTGATGCATAACTATGAATTTTTTAATTTATGTAATTTAGATATGGTTCCAAAGATCACTGTGACAATTTTGTCAGTGTTTAGTGTGAAAAGTTTGTTCTCTGCAGTCCACTTTATCTCTGCAAACTAGCCTTGGAGCACTGCCTCAACCTGCGGTAAATTTGGTTTGCTAGTATAGATTACAGTGCTGTCTGTGCACAGTTGAGGCTTCTCAGACTTTAGGGAGATCATTTATAAATAATGTGAATTAGGGAAGGTTTGCTGAAGGGAGGGAGGTGCTGTTAGCAATGGGCACATATTGATATTGATCCAATTCAAATGACTGAAACCAGGTTAGTGGATGGCAACCAATACCTCAGTTTTTGCAATAAAATGCCATGGTCTAACCATCAAAGGCTTTGGCAAAATCAAGAAAAATAACTGGTTACGTCCACTTATTCCATGTCAGTTTGGATGTCATTGCAAATTGAAGAAGGCAGTCGTAGTTGAGTGATTTGGACAAAAGTGTAATTGGTCAGGGGTCAGATAGTTGGATTGTTGATAATACTCACATAGTTGCGTGTGAACGCAATTTTCCAAGATTTTTGACAATACTGGGAGCAATGATAGTGGTAGGTAGTTACATACCAAAGTATCATCACCACTTTTATGGATAGGTTCTATTCTTGCAGTCTTCCAACATTTATGTATCTAGGCACCAAGGATTCATTATTTGCTGTCAACTCAAATGCTGTCCAATAGACAAAAGTTTTTTGTGGGGGGGGATGAACATTCCTTAGATGATTTTTGTTCGATCTGCTCGCTACAAGCAGCAAGCACTAGAATTAATCTGAACCCTTGTGGAAAATATATGTGTGTATTATATACATTATTTATGGATAATGTTTTATCGAGAAATAACTACTTCTACTGTAGGAAACCTAGTTTGTGGATCTTTATTTGTGCAAATAAGCATATATTCCAAAATTCAACTCAGAAGGCCAATATTTTCAAAAAAAATTTTTTTCCTCATGATCAGGTTTATTTCTGAAGAACACATATACAAACACCTTCCCAACAAGTCCAGGGCCATAGCAAGGATGTGCAAATGATCAATAGATGTAAAACATGCTTAGTTCTTTCTCTTTTTGAGTTAAGCACGGAATTATCAAATATTACAAAAGCATCAGTTATCATTTTTAATAATCTTTTACCGATTATGTAAATTTGGGATATGACAGATTCTATGAATGTATGCATTTTTATCCAGTTTCTTAGGAGCTCTGAATTTAAGTGCTGAACAGCAATAGTGGTCATTGCCAAACTCTTCTTGAGTGACTGGAGAAAAAAAACTAAACTTTTTTCTTCCTTTGTGATTTACTCCTCGTGGATATTGAAAAGCTTGGCCACCTCATTGAGGTCAGAATGCTCCTCACCATCCTTAATTATCTGTGAATAGAAAATAAAAACAAAAATAAAAAAATAGGTTTTAGAAATAGCAAGGCTTCAACAAAAGAACAATCCTATTGTGGTTTTGGTAGAATTTGTAGATCTGAAAATAAGAGTATGAAATGATAATGCTTTAAAACAACAGGAAACCCAGTTTGAGTCTAAAGAAATAGATTACACTAGGTTGTTTGAATGAGGGCTGTTGCACTGCAGGTTTTTGAGTGTATTTGGTCTACAGCTCTCAAAACCTATGATTGTCCAAATAAATAGTTAAGAAAAAAGAAAATCATCAGGAGGAGAAAAAAAAAAAAAAGTTTGTTTTTCCTTCTCTAAATACAGACCATGCTACTCCTACAACATAGTGGACACATGTCTAAATGAAACTGTAGAGATTACTTTGTGATATCACTTAGTAAAATAATGTCAAAAATTATCTAATTATGAATCCACCCTAGGTCCAAGAGAGAGAGAGTACACACGGGTGTGTTTAGCATAGGTGTACCAAAGCCCACAAGAGAAACCTGAAAGAGGAAAAAAAACAAAATAAAAAAACCACAAACAGACAACACTTTGGAAGCACTCGAGGGAGAGAGCTCCCCCAGGACGTGAGGCAACAACCTCAACCCCCAAGGCACATACAAGCAGTGCCTAGCCATACTTGTGGCATGTATAGTAACAGTTACAGACCTATATTGTTTTTTTTCTTAATTTTTTAAAGTATGTTTTTGGTTAACAAATGTTATGTTTACTGTATAACTGTTGTAGAACACACTATGGGGCACGTGGGTGGCCCCACACCACTCGTACACAGCAAGCCACACAAAGCAACTACTAGACAAGGTCCACACCCTCCCTACACACTCAGGGGACGATTGCAAAGAGTATTGAGAAACCCCTTGCTCGGCTTGACACGGCTGGGGAGAGCAAGGGCCCTCGCACCAATAGAGGTTTCCATGAGACACACAAAAATCCGCACGCGACAACCACCGTGAAAATATGTACGTACAATGTGAGGGGACTGAATGTCCCTGCAAAGCGGCACCTTCTCGCCTGCGACCTCAAGACCACACGCACTGACATCCTTTGCCTACAAGAGACCCACTACCGAACAGATGACTTTACCAAGACACTGCTTAGTGACTTCCCACACCAATTTCACTCGGCCTCTCGCTCGAAGTCGAAAGGAGCTTCCATCCTGATAAGCAGAGAGGTCAAATTTTCCCTCCACTCCCAAGACATAGACACTAACGGCAGATATGTCATTGTGTCAGGCATGATGAACGACATGTTGTACACAATAGCAAACATATACTCGCCAAACGCTAATCAAAGAAATTTTCGACACAAAATCCTCCAAAAAATTGTGAATATACAACAAGGCATTACAGTACTTTAATCACATCCTAGACCCTAAACTCGACACTACACTGCCCCAACACAGCCGCAGACACCGCCCCTTTTATGACACATGGAGACTCATACACCCTAGTGAACGGGCATACACACACTACTCCTCAGTGCACAATTCCTACTCCAGAATAGATGGTCTCCTAATATCGGGCCCCCATCTGAACCAAATACAACGCATAAGCCAAATAACGAGACCCATACAACAACAAGCTATAGATCAGGTCAACAGGCACATGACCAAACTAAAAGCAACACACTATGTACAGGGCAACAAAGCCAGCAAACTATTAGCACTCTGCCTAAAACAAACAGGCAAACCAAAAAATACATCACTTAATAGACCATAAGGGGACAAAAGCTTCTACCCCAAAGGACATTAGCGAAGTATTCGCCCGATATTACTCAGATCTATATAACCTCAAAGATAACACCACCACTAGACAACCATCACTAACACATATACAACGGGAAGCACTTAAACCGATTACAGCCCAGGAGATGATTGACACGATAAACTCACTACCAAACGGGAAGTCCCCGGGTCCAGATGGCCTCAACAACACATACTATAACACGTTCAGGGAGACCCTGGCACCCCAACTGGTCAAAACCTTTAATGAAGCGATAGCCACCCAATCTCTCCCCAAGGAGATCTTATTGGCACACATCGTCACACTCCCGAAACCGAATAAAACACAGACGACCCCACAGAACTTTAGGCCCATATCACTTCTTAACACGGACGCAAAGTTACTTGAAAAACTCTACGCCACAAGACTAGGGTCCGTGCTGCCACACATAATACACAACGATCAAGTGGGGTTCGTTAAAGGGAGACAGGGGTCGGACAACACCAGGAAGGTCCTAACTATATTGCACAAGATACAAACACAAGGTGGGGGGGGGGATACTAGTCTCCCTAGATGCAGAAAAGGCCTTCAACCGTCTGCACTGGGGATTCCTCCAGGCGGTCCTGTGGAGATTCGGAATCCCAGACACGATAGTGGCAGTGATAAAAGCCCTATACAGCGCCCCAACAGCACAGGTGCTGAACTCGGGGTTCCTGTCAAGCCCCTTTAAACTTACCAACGGGACGAGACAGGGGTGCCCTCTTTCCCCCTTATTATATGTGATGGCACTGGAGCCCCTAGCAATTAAAATTAGAGAGAACACATCCATACAAGGAGTGAGAGTCAGGGGAAAAGAATACAAAACAAATCTTTTTGCGGACGACATTCTGCTTACACTTATACAACCCCAAAGTTCGCTGCCGAACCTATTGAACAAAATACGCCTATATGGGGACCAATCACACTACAAGCTAAACGTCACAAAGACGCAAGCAATGGGAGTGGGAGTGCCAGGCCACACAATAGCTCAACTAAGAGCTACATTCCCCCTAGATTGGAGGGATGACTACCTCACCTTCCTGGGTCTGCGAATAACTAAGACCGTAGCAGGTCTCCATGAACACAATTACGAAAGGCTAAGGAGAGACATAGTTGACACCCTACAAACATGGGAGGACAAATACCTATCTTGGGTGGGAAGGATAGCAGCTGTCAAAAAGATGGTGATGCCCAAACTCCAATACCTATTTTGCACACTACAGATACCAATACCTAAAATATTCCTGCAAAAACTCCAACAAACCATAAACAGAATCATATGGGCGAATCGCAAAATACGGGTAGCAACTAAAATACTGAGCAGACCGGTGACAGAAGGGGGACTAGGAATACCTGACGTGGGCACATACTACAAAGCGACCCTTTTGGCCACGGCGGTCCTAGCACATACAGCGGAGGACAGACCGCAATGGGTAGACGTAGAATCGACGTGGACATGCCCAAAAGGTCTACACTATCTATTCTGGATACCCTACAAACTACGCCCTAAAATAATGGGGGTGCCTGACACCACGTCTCTATTGCTGAGAACGTGGGATGCAGTCAAAACCCAACTAGGACACACTAAATCATGGTCCCTAGCGACCCCAATACAAAGCATACACATTGCAAACCCCCCTTTCGACCACGGGCCATGGGAAAAAGGAGGCTGTACATTGATCAAACACCTATACCACAACGATACCCTAATGCAATTGCAATTCCCGGACCTCCAGAGCCGATACAGTTTGCCACCTCGCTCATTATTCTCATATTGCCAACTCAAATCACTCCTAGAGCGCGACACGGAGAAAGTAACACACAGGGAAGTAAAGACCAACGAATTTGCGTAGCCAGAATTATACCGAAAAAAATGATCTCTAGCCTATATAGGGTGCTGATTGACCCACTGGGCGAGGAACCGGAGAAGTACCAAGAAGCATGGTAAGTAGATATAGGTAAGACATTACAAACAGAGCTCTGGCAGAAGGCATTCATAGCACACAAGGGCAGATCCAGATGCGCTTCACGCTTCGAGCTAATGCGCAAAATACAGTACAGATGGTACAGGGTACCGGCCAGGCTAGCGCCTATATACCCTCAAACGTCCATGAGCTGTTGGAGGTGTGAGTAGGAGAAGGGCATGATGTACCACATATGGTGGACATGCCCCCGCATCACCGCCTACTGGGCGGAAGAAGGCAACATAATCTCAAAAACTATACACCAAACAGTGATGCTAGAACCCGAGTGCGGACTCCTTTTCACGACCCTAGAGCAATTCACCAAAACCCAAGCCTTCCTAATGTTCCACATATTGATTGCAGCGAACTTACACATTGCAAAGGCGTGGAAACAGACCGACACCCCAGATATAGAGATAGTGATCAAGCAAGCCACCACAAATATAGATTATGAGACAAGAACACACACAGGACATTAACTACAAGACTATAAAATGTTAGCCAAACAAGAGTGGGAAATATTCCTGGAAGGAAGAGGAAAGGAGCAGAGCGACAACGAAATACTGTAAGCCACATATGTAGGCTATCAGACTAACATAAGGCGAGAGAGGCGAAATTGGATCAATTCGAAAGCTCACGATGACAGCCCCTAGGGGAGAGAGACAGAAGAGTGGACACCCACACTGTACATAGTTGTGTCAACTGACACCGGTGCTAACACAGGGAGACACCTAAACCAAACACAAACCTCTCGAACATGGCCACAAAGCTCCAACAACACACATAAGTAATACAAAGGGAACGAGCAAAGCCACAAAACAGGGGAAGCCTAGTGGGGGAAACTCTCTGTGGTTTAGCAAAGAACTGTTAAATAGCCCCCCCCCCCTTCCCTCTCATTCCACAACCTACCCTATGCACCACCCAAACTTAATACTAGGGCATTCCGGAGAAAGAAGACTCCCATAAAAGGAGTCCCAAGAAGACAATAGAGGGAGCAAGCGCGAACAAAGCCATAACTGAACGAAAAGTGATGTTTGTAATATACCCGCAAATAAGTATGCACCATAAAGTAATGTACTAATTACTGCTAAAATGTTATAAACGCAACCCCAAACCCTTCCTCTTTGCCTTCTGTACCCCATGGATGATCAGGGATATAAAAATCGTCAATTGGAAAAAATAAAAATAAAAAATAAAATAAAAGAGGATGCAACAAGTATAGACAAAGATACTCAATGTTACCAGAGCACAATGCTAAAAGGCTAATATTGGGCTAACAGCAACTACTGCATATAGACTTCTCATATCACGAATGTGGCAAGATATTGGTGCTGCCTATGTTGCACATATTACACCAAAGTACTATTTACATCCAATGCGTATAAACAACTGCATGTACGGTGTCACATCTGAAGCCCCTTTTCCCCTTTATTTTCTGTACCCCATTTTTGACTTATGACAAAATAAAAATTGTCAAATTGAAAAAAAAAAAATCTAATTATGTCATTAACTGACATGCTTGACCACTGTACAAAATATATGACATTTTAGATGAGGCTGGGTACAGAGGGCAATTTGTATAGCTGAATACAGAGATTAACTCTTGGGTTAGTAATACAGGATTCAACGGTAACTGTTCCTTTTAGTGAATTTACACCATTACAATTAAATATTGAAAATCCCCCTTAACTTGTGTTAAGCTTTCTTTTACAAGTTACTTTTCTTTAAAATTTATATTTTACATTTTTTTTAAAAATAGAAAATTACACCATAACACAGCTCAAAGGCTAAGCCTGTGCAAACATTGATAAATGTCCGCTAATGTTCCCATTTATCCTCTGCCATTTGAAAAGTGTTTTGTTCTAAAATGTGGTGTAAAAGTACAGCTGGTAATGACCATGAGAACAAGCAGAACCAGCAGGCACATTCCACTGGTGACTGTTTTACACCAGGTGTTTGTGTGTGTGTGTTCATACATCCCTGCAGTCACACACACAAGGTCTGTCCGGACAAAGTCCAGTCATTGTTAATAACAAGTATGGTTTGCACGATAACCTATGTAACCCGGCAGCCAAGGAGAGTGGACTGGAATGCGAATGCATGAACAATGAAGACTTCACTGTACTAGTCAGTGAGGCTCTAGATGCTGTTAAGTGAACATGTGTACTGTGTGGCTGTCGCATCCAAAATGACTGAGTGAAGAGAGCAACAAATCTGCATCAGGGAATCTGGGGCTGTTGGGAGATCTACTTATACCTTTGTCTTCATTTTGCTGTAAGGAGGAGCTAACTCATTAATTCAATGCTGCCACAAAAAAAAAAATTTTGGTAAGTATAAATACATTTTCCTCATTTCTTGATTAGTTCTAAATTGTAATACTTCCACTGACAGCATGAAACTGAATTTGAGGCTCTCTGGTTCTATTAGTAAAAGCAAAAAGGAAACCGATATTTCTTTCAACAAAAAGAATAACCCTACCTCTCAGTTTAAAACTTTAAATATACCATTTTAATGTAATTTTGTAATCAATAAAAAGATTACAGTTGAACATCTGTATGTTCAGAGAATCTTGACAAGAGATCCAATGCACAATATAATTATTCCCCCAGAGAATCTTCAAGAGGGAATTGTAAATAAATACATTTATTTATAATTAACTCTAAAAGATGCTCTGGGGTACGCTTACGCTTTTGCACAATTACCATTTAGCACATAACCCCAAATTAGAGGACTAGGATTGGTTGACAATTTTTAGTAATTTCCTCATCTTTTCATCCACGGAGAACTCAAAATTAAAACAGAATATATGCTTACAGATACATTTGTTTTAATCAATGTGGTTATGGCCATGAGATCCGTAGCATATGGCATTTCAGTTCCAGAGAGGTGTACACTTTTAGGCAATGAAGCTATTCCCAAGGTGAATCATCTTGAACCTGAGGAAATTGGCTTCCCAGTTATCTACTCTCAGAATCACCTTGCAAGACTTGTGTCCCACTGGAGGTTCCTGGATGCCTGCTTGTCTTGACTCCTTGCAGACCGACATAAGCCACAGTGACACAGTAAAACTAGATTCATATAGTTGTGACTTTTACAGGCTAAACAATGACTTGAGAGCATTAAAGTCTGCCCTCTGGGGTTTTAGGACATTGATTAGTAACCTTGCCTACATAGGAAAACAAGTCTCCCTAGCCCAGAACAACTGCCACACTGTATTCCATCACAAGGCATCGCTGTCCACTGAGACCATGGCCCACTCAGACCTGCAAAAGGAGCAGCCCTAGGTCACAAAAAGTAGAGAAGGGACCATACTAGATGGTTCAGTATAAATCTCTGCAAAAGATCTGCAGTGTCCTAATTCTACAACGTGAGGAAAAATTGTAGGTACCAAAGGTAAATCTGGCAAACTGTACTGCATCTGAAGAGGTTACCAGGAGACCTAGAAGTTTCAACAATCTGCCACAGTTTGAGAATGCAAGTAAAAATGGAGGAGACAAGCCAGTTGAAGCTTTGTCAGACCCCTATGAAGAAGACTCACAGAGGATAGATCCCAGAGCCAAAGTCCAAGGCAATGGGTGTTAGGTAGGTTAATGAACCAGGAATGGTCTTACTGTATCTCTTGCTCAAAGACAGCAGGTTGAGTCTGAACCACCAAGGCAAACATCATGGGTGACGGTAGTCACCATCACTGGGAGCATAAGATGAAAACTTCAATTAGATCCCTGGATGACTCCTATGTTTAAGTCACCCTGTGCCCATTGTGGGGGCAGGGCTGCCATCAGGGGGTGACAACCATAATGTCTGTGTGTGTGTCAGTATGCATGTATGTCAGTATGTCTGTATGTGTCTATCTGTATGTGTGTGTTTGTATGTCAGTATGTATATATATCTCAGTATGTATGTATGTCTGTGTGTGTGTGTCAGTATGTATGTATATATATCAGTATGTATGTCAGGATGCATGTAAAGAACTCTGGTACAAGGTCCTGGAGGGAGTTCAGGTTCAGCGGAGAGAGAGCCTCCCAAAGCAAGAGCAGCACTCTCATGGAACAAATGGCTTTGCGGATGCCTTTTCTGGAAGAGCAGCCCCTGGAGGAGTGGGTGATGGAACTCGAGCTCCTGGTAGGGAGGCAACTGTGGCTAGACGACACCGGGCATTATGGTGGTATACTGTACAGCAATGCCCATGGATGTGAGACTAACAGTCCATCACTGATAGGGTTAATTTCTGGTGGCTTAATCATAAGACTAACAAGCTTTTATCTTGGGACCAAAGTCCCACTTTGGATAAAATTTAAAGGTCAGGCTGCAGATCTGAATGAAAGTTGTGACAAAGAGGAATAAAGAACAAATAGTTTGGAAATCCCAGTTAGCCTACAGCGGCCCAGTCCTGATCTCAATCCTACCGAGTATCTCAGGAACGATTTAAACTTTCAGTCTGCAAGTGTGGGCAAAAATGGTTTCTAGCCAAAGTGAAAGCTGGTATATAACCCAAAAGTCAAACAAAATTATAATGTAAAGATTGCCTGCTAAACTTTACACCCGAAAGAAGCTTCTTCGCCAAGATGTCTAGTACACAAGGCTCTGTAAATGTGTGTAAAGATGTCCAAGATGCAGTTCTACAAATACATTCCATTAAAGCACATATACATTCATGGGAAGAATAATGTAGACATAAGAACAATTATCTCTGTTCCTTAGCAGGTCCTTAAATTAGTTAAATATAACCTCAGTTGAATACCACCACATGACATATTAAACTGCGTCATATTTAACAAAAATAAAACTAAGTACACCTTATGATTCAATAGCTTGTAGAACCACCTTTAGCAAGAATTAACTTGAAGCAATAGTTTTCAGTCTCTCAAATCGTTATGGAGAAATTTTGGCCCACTCTTCTTTACAATGTTGCTTGTTTGCTGGGATTTGTTTATGCACAGCTCTCTTAAGGTCACACCACCACATTTCAATTGGTTTGAGGTCTGGACTTTGACTGGGTCATTGCAACACCTTGATTCTTTTATTTTTCAGCCAATCTGTTGTAGATTTGCTGCTGTGCTTGGGATAATTGACCCAATCTTGGCCAAGCACGAGCTGTCGGACAGATGCCCTCACATTTGAATCTAGATTACTTTGGTGGTTGCAGAACAAGCCTAAATCATCACCCCTACACAACAATGCTTGACAGTTGGTGTGAGGTGTTTGTGCCGATATGCTGTGTTTTATTTTCGCTAAATATCTCCACTTTGGTCTTGTCTGTCCAAAGGACACTGTTCCAAAAGTCTTGTAGTTTGTTCAGATGCAACTATGCAAACCTAAGCAGTGCACCCATGTTCTTTTTAGAGAGAGAGAGAGAGAGAGAGAGAGAAAAAAAAAAAAAAAAACTTTGTCCTGGCAATCCTTCCATACAAACTGTATGGCATGACCTGGTGACCTCTCCTCCCCCGCCGACGTCAGCGAAGCCGAATGCGCATGCGCGGCAAGTGCCGCGCGTGCATTCAAAGTGTCCATAGGAAAGCATTTCTCAATGCTTTCCTATGGACACTCTGTGTGATAGAGGCGAAATGTGCCTCCAGCGTCGCAGATGCACCTCTAGTGGCTGTCCAGAAGACAGCCACTAGAGGCTGGATTAACCCCAAATGTAAACATAGCAGTTTCTCTGAAACTGCTATGTTTGCATCTGAAGGGTTAAAACCTGAGGGACCTGGCACCCAGACCACTTCATTGAGCTGAAGTGGTCAGGGTGACTATAGTGTCCCTTTAACTACAAACTAACCACAAACTTAAGTGCTCTCTCTGTGTGGCCACCATTCGTATAACCAAACAACACGTGCTGTGGAAAACGGCGGCCATGTTGTCTCACAAACGCAGGCAGCGGGACTTGGTCGTTGAGCGTATGGAAGTCGGATACAGCCACGGCGAACCTCTGATTTTGCATGGACGCCTGCTTCTATTCCTGACAAGTCAGGAGAGCCCTGTTCAGTAGGATTGTGTGCACAAACTAGGTGAACAATTGCTACCTATGAGCCAGGAGAACCGTTTTTACATTTTATTCGTTTTGGACTCCCAAAAGTGACCGACCACTACCACCACTTTTTCTCTGGAACTAATTTGGGCAGACACCACGTGTGCAGTCGGTCAAAACTTTACCCCGGTGGCGATTCGGCTGTGTTTCTGTATAAAATATTTTGTACCTCTAGTGCATGGGAGATAATTAGTTTAAATAAAAGCAAGCTCCCAGACCCAGAGTCGCCCGGCGGGCTTACTGTACAAGTGAATGGAGACCCAAGTCTGTGTATATAAGCTGGCCACTGGGCCATAATAAAACATTCTTCTTGTACCCTTCATCAAGTCTTGGCTGATGTTTGGGTATACCAGAGCTATAATCACTGCTTCACTTTGGGACTCGGGAGAATTACAACGAATATACTCAGTCGGACTATAGGGGGATTTGTTACACAAACCATACTTGTTCAGTGTTTTTCTAATTGTATTTTCATGAACTTTAAAGGGACATTATAGTCACTCTGACCACTACATCTGATTGAAGTGGTCTGGGTGCAGAATCCCAGTACCATTTAGTAATCAATGCATCTCTATGAGGAAAATTCAGTGTCTCCATGCAGAGCGTGGGGACGCTGAATGGCAGGGCTGCTTACTGTGCAGCCCTGAGCCAGGAAGCCCCTCCATTGGCCATCTAAAGAGTGGCCACTTCGAGGTGTCCCTAGGGGCAATGTAAACACTGCCTATTCTCTGAAAACTGTCTGGAAGAGGAGCGCAGTGCGCTTCCCTCCTGCTGGTCTCACTGACATTGTGCCCCCCAGGGTGGGTGCACAGGGCCTGGAAGGGGGTGTGTAATTTTCAGCAGATTATAACCTTTTTTCGGACGAAATGGGTGAGACCATCACAATCAGCTCACTCTACACACGCGAAATCCCACTAGCAGCCTCCAGACACATGCACAATACGCTTTCCTGGCCCTTTTGTCCTCTGGTATCCCACTTACTGAGAAACCGGAGACAAGTCACAAGCTAACACAGCGTAAGTGTGTCATTAAACTTGCTTGTGATGCGCAGGATATGCAAGAGCATCGAACCAACATGCATACTTTGAGAGGGGGCGTGCTTTCCAACCGGTTATGAAAAAACCCCACCATCTCTAGCCCTGCTCTAACTCACTTAGATTAAAGAATGCACGGGCCAAATTTTATTCCCCATGTCTAAAGTAAAAGGGACACTAGAGGGGACAGGGCCTGGCATCCAAGATGGCCAGATGTGTTTTCAGTAGCTCTCCTCTGCTTGCATTAAATCTCCTACAGTTTTGCTGTTAATGCCACACACAGAAGAAATGTGCTACAGGCAGACAACCTATATACTCATTGCATCTTACCGCACCAGATTCGAAGTGTCCTGCTGGATCTTACACAAGTCACTGGACACTAGAGGTCAATTGCGGGCAGCATATTTCTGTGTTTATATAAAGTCGATTTTATTTTTATATTTGTCTATTCATTCATTTGGTGTGCACAAATGATGTTGTTTTCTCATCTTGCAGGTACATTTATAAAAATTATAGTGGCAGTACTGAACAAGTGGGATGTAACTTCTGCTATGGACAAGAAGCTTCCCTTCAAATTTGAATATATAGGATAGGCCCCGCCTGCTGCCCATATAAACCCTGAACCTAAAAGGAAACACCAGTTATAAAAGGAACCAAACGGAGACCTTATACTGCAAAATTAATTTAATCCATACAAAAAGAGGAGGGAACGGCAGTACTGTCACTATACTAAGAAAAAAGTAATTTACAGTAAGTAAAATTACTGTTTCTCCTCTCGTATAGTGGCAGTACTGAACAAGAGGGCTATAGCAAGATCCTTGTAACAAACAAAGGGTAGGAAATTAGAAGGCCACTGCCTGGAGCACCTTCTGCCCAAAAGTCGCTTCAGAGGATGAGAATATGTCCATGCTAAAATGCTTAATAAAGGTGTGTAATGAAGACCAAGTCTCTGCCTTACAGATGTCTTCTGGCGAAGCTGCAGATCTTTCAGCCCAGAAAGTTTCCATTGCTCTCGTGGAGTGAGCCTTCACTGGAAATCTGTTGGGAACACCTCGGGTTTCATAAGCCAGTTTTATGGCTTCCGTTAGCCACCTAGCAATAGTAGGTCTGGAGGCTTTTCTACCTTTACCAGAGCCTTGAAAAATGACAAAGAGATGATCAGAGTTCCTAAAGCCTTGTGATCTATGAAGATAGATTTCCAACGCTCTTCTAGCATCTAGGAGATGCTACTTTTTTTCAAGCTCCGAAGATTGAGATTGGCAGAAGGAAGGCAGAATAATAGGTTGGCTCACTGATTTCTTTGAAATAACCTTAGGTGAAAAAGGAAGGTATGGGATGCAAGACTACTTTTTCTTGATGGAAGATGGTAAACTCAGAAGCTGCAGAAAGAGCCTGTCTTGATTGTAAGCAGCTTTAGGGAAACATCCTGCAAAGGTTCAAAATGAGGTTCACAAAGAGCCCGAAGGACTAAAGACAAATCCCAGGTAGGAAAAGGCGAAAGCTAATGAGGACGTTTCAGTAGGATTGATTTAAACTATCTGCGTATAAGAATGATAGAAGCTATATCACGCACAAGGAAGTGACTCAATGCTGAAATTTGGATCTTGAGTGTTGAAACACCTAAACCAACTAACAAAAAACATCCTGCAAAAGACAAAATATCAGGGATAGACGAATTGTCAGGATTGAAACCTTTCTGAGCACACCAGTACCTGAACTTCATCCAAATCCTGAGATATATCTTAGAAGTAGATAAACGGACTGATGCCAGAAGAATGTCACTCAAACTGTCTGAAAGCCCTCGCTCACAGAGGATCATCCTTGCAGTAGCCATGCAGTCAGGTGGAACATTTCCACGGTCTCTACCGGAAGATTCACATGCTCTATGAAGTTGTCTGAAATTGGGAGAGCCCAGCGTGAAATCATATGTTCTATTTCGGAGAACCAGCTTCTGTTTGGCCAGAAGGGCAAAATGGTTAGAACCCTTGCTTTTTTCCCCCCATCAGATTTTTTGAATAATCCTTGGAATCAGGGCTATTGGATAGAAAATGTATCCCATGTTGAAGTTCCAGGTGAGAGAGAGGCCATCTAGGAAGTCTGGGAAATCCTGTGCCCGGACAGAAGTGAAGGTGGGGACTTTCCTGTTTTAACTTGTGGCCATAAGGTCGATTTCTTGTAAGCAGAATCGGATTACCAATTCCGAGAACATCTGGGGTTTTAGGGACCAGTCTGCTTGAGACCAATGTTGTCTGCTGAGGTCGCCTGCGATGGTGTTCAGAGACCCTCTGATATGAGTTGTTGAGAGTGAGTTTATCATAGACTTGGCCCAAGACATGATAAGGCAACACAGATCTTGAAGGTATTTTACTTTTGTGCCCCCTTGTGGGTTTAAGTAAGCCACTGTGGTGGCGTTGTCTGACTGAATCCTTATGGCTTGAGTGGCAATAACTGGACTGAAAGATTTCAAAGCATTCGTTACTGCCTTCATCTCTCTGAAGTTGGAGGATGCTTTTGCTTCTTTCAAAGTCAATTCCCCTTGAATGAACCGTGAACCCAGATGGGCGCCCCAACCAGTTCGAGAGGCATCTGTTGTGATGGTAATCCATCTTTTCTGTTCGAATAAAAAGCCTCTGGAAAGGGTGTTTTGTCTTTCCACCAATTTAGTTTTTAGTAGGCGAGAAACGGAATCCAAATCTTCCTTTTGTCTTGACCATTGTGCAAGAATGTTCCATTGTAAAGGTCTTATTTCCGCTTTTGCCCAACCAACTGCTGGGATTGTGGAGATGAGAAGCCCCAGGACACTCATGGCCTATCTGATGTAGCATACATTCTTTTGTAATTTTGAAACGGCCCTGCAAATTCTTCTTTATTTTAACATGGGAAGAAACAGGGGGAGAGAGAGACCCTGAATCCACCAGAAGCCCCTAGAATTCCAGTCTTGCTGAAGGAATAATCTGAGATTTTTGTAAGTTTAAAAGCCAACCGTGATTGTCCAAAACCTTTCTGGTGATCTTGAGGTGTAACCTGAGGAGATGTTCTGATTCTGCTTTTTGGAACCAATCGTCCAGGTAAGGAACTATTGTCACACCTCTTAAGCGTAAGGTTGCTGCTATAGGAGCCAGGATCTTTGTAAAGATGCGAGGGGCTGATGAAAGGCCGAACGGAAGGGCTTTGAACTGAAAATGAAGAATCTTTCTTTTTCCTGTTAGTACTGCAAACCTTAGAAACTTCCAAGAAAATACTGACAATGGAACATGGAGGTAGGCATCCTTTAAATCCAACTTTGCCATGAATTCTCCCTTCTGTAAGATGTCCATCACTGATAAAATATTTTCCATACGGAACCTTTGATAAGAGATACACGCATTAAAATCCTTGAGGTCTAGGATAGGAGGGAAGGATTTATCTGGTTTCTGAACTAAAAACTGGCGAGAGTAAACCCCCTGAAATTCCTGGTATCTGGATACTTTTTCTATAACGTCCTTGTGTAACAGTAGTAGGGTTTCTGATAGGAGTGCCTCTTATTTCTTTCATGATGGATACTTTGAAAGCAGAAAAGATGGTTTTGGTACTGTAGAAAAGCGGATTCTGTATCCTTCTGAACTAATCTTCAGAATCCAATAATTTGAAGTCGTATCTGTCCACATTTGAGAAAAGAACTGAAGACGACCTCCCACTCTTTACTTTTACTCAATACTTTTCCTTTTTGTCCTGTTTATGGAGATCTCTGAATATGGAGTCACTGTTCTGTTTGTGAAATTTCCAAAATCTCCCCTGCTAGTTAAAGGAACGTTGTCCTCTGAACGGATATTTTTTTTATAGTTCTGAGGTCCTGAATTTCTAGAATCCTGAGGCAATGCTTTCTTGTTTTCAGACATCTGTTTTATTATATATTCCAGAGGGGTGCCAAAGAACTTGTTCCTCTCGAAAGGTAGCTCACATAAAGCAGATTTAGAAGCTGAATACGCTGTCCAAGTTCTGAGCCATAAGGCTCTTCTGGCCACCGAGGACAAACCCATTATCCTGGCAGATAATTGTAGCATTTCATCAGAGGCATCTGAAAGAAACTCATTAGAAAATTTCAGAAGAAACAACAGCTGAGCCGGGTCTTTATCGGATTTCCCCATAAGAGAATCTTCTAGGGCTCGAAGCCACATACTCTTGGCTTTAAGCACTGCTGAACCAGAAATACCAGCTCTGAATTGGTAACCAGCAGCCTGAAATATTCTTCTGCTAGGCGTTGCGGCCCGCTTGTCCATGGGATCTTTTAACCCAGAATCCTCACCAATAGGGATCGTGGTTTTCTTTGATAATTGTGCTACTTGAATATCGACTTTTGGAAGGTCTTCCCATTTTTCTTCAGTCTGTAGCTTAAAAAGCAGTTTGAAGTACTTAGAAATAAAAGCATGTCTTTCCGAAATTTTCCACTCTTTTTGTAAAAGTTCCATAATCCTAGGGTGCGTAGGAAAGCCTTTTACCTTACCCTTGGTAGGTTCAGTTTCCTGACCTGTCGATACTTCCTTGATAAGCTTTTTCAATTCATCTGGAGGGAATCCTTCCTCCACACTTGAAGCCAGACTGGAAAACTCCAAAAGGGAAGAAGATGACCATTCCCCCGATGAGAGCTTAGACAGGGTTGGAGATCTTTCTCTCCTACGTTTTTTTTGTCTGTCCTGAATAGTAACAGACCCACTGTCTTTTTTTAATGGTATCTTTAAATTACTCGAGGGTCTGTGATAAATTCTCCTGAAACCAGCACAGGAATGTGGACATTTCGTTTTGCTTGGATTTCTCCAGTAATTCCGTCGAGCATTGATTACAGGTTTTCTTACGACATCCGTCAGGCAGAGGGACTGCACATTCCAAACAACACAAGTGTTTTGATTTGCTCATAGCATTTTTTGGGATAGGAGCTGACATCTTTTCTTTTTCAGCTTTATACGGTGAAGTAGGACTGTACATACTCTCTAGATGTGAAAGAGAAATACTGTGCATCAGAAGGCATGCTACCAAATGCAAGTGTTCAAGGGAGATTTTAATTAAATTCTCAACTCAAACACCTCACCACCGTGCAGAAGGGCTGGTGACACTGAGGCACCCACCCTTGGGGTTAGACAAGTTCCGCACAGTATTTATAGCTAAATAAATTGAATTTAGTGCCAAAATTTAGAACTACCGTTTCGAGCATGCACAGTAGTGCGATTTGGTGTTCAGTGGAACGCAACACCTCCTGGGCGTGCGTTCCACGGCTGTGCGCATGCGTCAGTGTTGTAGGTGGGAGGTCCGCCCGGGACTTCCCAGGATGTGGCCACATAAGCCGGCTTCCAGTCGCGTTCCATAATGCAACTGAACTGAAGTTTTTTCAGCCGCTCAGATCCCACATGGGGAGCTATCGGGCACTCACCTCCCAGATCAGCAGCCTGTGTTGACCGCACCGATCTCTGCCTGGTCCTTTGGAGGAGCTTGTCCGTCCTGTTGTTGGGACAAGAAGAACTGGTGTTTTCTTTGAGGTACAGGGTTTATATGGGCAGCAGGCGGGAGCCTATCCTATATATTCAAATTTGAGGGGGAGCTTCTTGTCCATAGCAGAAGTTACATCCCACTTGTTCAGTACTGCCACTATACGAGAGGAAAAAATATATACGGTTTCAATTTTGGCACCAAAATGTGATCTTGCCGGAGTACAGGAAGTATGTTGTGCTATTGGGAGTGCAACATGCTGTGCTTATTTAGCCATTACCTGGACTGAAAAGTCCAGAATAGCATAAGTGGAATGCACTCCTTGTATGTATTTCACCACAGGAACTAATCTAAGAAAACCACCTGGTGTTAATCACAGAAAATATTTGAGATGTACAACTAGCAAGGATTAAACAAAAAAACAAACAAGTCAGTCACTTGTACATGACATGATTTGATAAAAGGCCCACCCAGATAGCCATCTGCCCTACCCCACTCTCTGCCATCTCCTAAAACATTGAAGATATGGATGCCTGGAGGAAAAGTATTAAGGAAGGGTATTTAACCTTTAAAGTTTGGTTCAGCAAGTGGATACTTATCTACAAGGCTCCACACCTATATGTCAGTTGTCTCTTTTCAAATTATTGTCAGCAATCACTCCACTCAAAACATTTAATATCACAGATTTGTCAATTACATTGCACTATAACCCACCCTCATGTGTACCCTTGCTATCCACACAGGTGGGAGTATAAATTAAGTAATGTGATCAGATGTTTCTCTTGTTCCCCCAAAAGTACCATTTGGAATAGATCTCAAGAGTTACAGTAGTGTCTCTGCAACCATGTAACTGGTCAGGTGGCATTATGACATAATCCAGTTGTAACCAGGTTTTAACTCATAAGAAATATCAGTGGTCTTGCTGCTGTCCTACTTAATCTTATTTACAATTCCGTACACAGGTAGAAGCAGTCTACACTATCCCACCTATTGTGTACAGCAAAATATTACAGCAATTTATTGTAATGGGAATAGTTCCCTCTCCATTAGAGGATTGACATGGTCAGGTAGAGGAAATACATTAAACTGAAGTGTTAAGCTTACTTTAACATCTGCCATGTTTACTCAAATTCTTTTCTTCAATTTTAGGGACTTTTCAATCTAGGATTTTCAAATTCATCAATTCCATGTGTAGAATTGTTCTTTGCTTTTATTAGACTGCATATTTGAAGGGACATGTGTCTCATTCAGAAGCTTGCCTCGCTCTGACTTTTTTCATATTTATCTTCTTTTTCTAATGCTTTTCATACCCACTCCAGGGAGGACACTATTCAGTGTTCTATTGATAGGAATGCAGGAAAAGGTGCATTGGGCATGCCGGACAGATTTACACATGTTCATTTGGAAGATTTACTTCACCTTGCAACATTCTGAGAGGGGGAGAAGCAGGGCCGGATTAACATGGGGGCTGATGGAGCTGCAGCTTCAGGCCCATGTCCATGGAATAGGCCCATTTTTATTTTTTTTTACTACTCTTCACATGCTCTTCCTTAAGTATGCAAACTTAGGAGGGATCTAGGGAAGCAAAACTGTAGACTGGAGTGTATGGAATATTTGCTATGTTTAGGACCAGTTCAGCACAGAGGCAGGTGTTGCAGGAAACAAGTTTGACAAGCAAATGGGATAAAGTTAAGTTAGCAATTTTTTTGTTTTGTTTACCCCTTTTTTGAAGTTGTGGTATTTTTTGTAAATAAAGAATTTTCCCCATCTATCTTTTACATTATATTGACTATGCTGTCTGCATAGTATGCCCATTGTTGGCCAGCCTGCATGATTGGCAGGCAGCCTGACATACATTCATGTCAGGCTGACTTTCTAATTTTCTGTGCAGACACGCCCCCTTTTTGGGCATGTTCGCCCATTTGGGCGGTTCTGATTACATGACTCGAGTCAGTGGCCCACCCTTTTACCCCGCCCACTGACATTCTGCTTCACCGGACACTGCTGTTAGGGGGTATGGATTTACTTGAAAGATTAAAGCGAGAGATTAGCACCCAATGCAGTGGACTCAGGCTATCAATACGTACTTTGCGTGCAATAGGCATTCGATTAAAGATATTCCACAGCAAAATCCCCACTACTATGTTGTCACGCAGGTAAAACACCACTCCTTTTCCATAGGTTTCCTTCTGCTGCGTGGAAGGAGGAGATGATTGAGGTAAGACAGGAGATGGAGTATTTTCTGTCTGAATTATTTCCCCGGTATCACTCTCAGAACGGATGCCTGTGCCTAGATGACAGATGGACAAACAATGCATTGTAAGAGAATATTAGACTTGTGCAAAAATTTTATTTGAACAGTTGATCCAAATCAAATTTCTTTTAAATTCACACCACAATTCTCTTCATCTGGGATTTACCTTTGGAGTCTCATTCATTGAATATGACTTCACAGGTACATTCCGAATGGATTGATTAGTTCAGGTGTGAATTATTTATTACCTTTATTGTTAAAATAAAGGAATTTAAAAAGAGTTCTAACAAGAAAATTATCAATTTCTAGAATGCTTATATAATACTAACAGTAAAATGTGGTGCTCATTCACTCCTCTTCCCCGACTGTAGGTATGGTATGATCAATTGGAGTACAAATGAAGGAGATGCAAGCTTTATGGACTAAATTTAGTTTTACACAGTAAATGAAAGTACAAATGTGCATAGGTGATTTGGGGAGTGAAATGTTTAATATTGATACACACAAGCTTGCACATGAATATCTTGGCTGATCCAAGAATATGAATATTTTATGTCTCAATTAGCAGAAACATCAACTATAATAGATACTTGTCTTGCAATAACTAATAACATTAACACTTGTGAAATGGTGACCATAATATGGAATCATTTGAGATAAATTCAAGAAAATAACTATATATTTTACAAAAACTTAATTTTTAAAATGACAATTTCTATAGGATATGGTCTTTAAACAAATGCTGCATTTCTTGATACATAAAAAAAGGCAGGTGTAGGCGCTCTCTATAATGTGAATAGGCAGCAGTAAATCTACAAGGATTCCCAAACCTTGTGTAAGATAGAGAAATGTGACAAAACAACAGGTGATAAACCGCTCCAAAATTTGGCACGGTTTATCACCAGTTTTGTCACATTTCTTGATACATACCATTGGGAAACAAACAATTAAACGTAAACCAATGTAGCTTAGTAAAAAAGTCAGTTAAGTAAAACAACAAAAATAATTCAAAACATTTAAATCAGATGGGACAATAGCATTCTGTAATATAAGCATGCCAACAGGGCTTGCAAAAGGGCGGTTTCGATAGGCTAAACTTGAAAATGAAAAGCTCACAGCTAAAGAGAGCAAGACCAACACCAAAAGGTGTTTTTTTTTTGTTTTTGTTTTTTAAAGTACATTAATTCCAAAGAGGTTAAGAGTGAAAATGTTGGTCCATTGGAATCTGAGATGGGTGAGTTAATCAAGAAAAAGGGACAGGGCAGGGCAGAAATTAAAAATATTTATTTTTTAGTTTATCTATTGCCTGGATTTGCAAATCCCTGTTACAAAAAAGAGCATGGAAAGAAGCAATTAACATGGGGACTTAAATCCCTATAGACCACAATGGAGTTATTCCCTGCTCACACTAGGGAGACCCAGTTATCTATCCATAACTGGGGCTTCCTCTGTGACCTGGGACTGACAGATGAGCTGTATGCAGTGCTCAAAGCTACACTGTAGTTATATTAAAACTATAGAACTAGGAACACGTTTGCTCACATGCATACATTAATAAGCTTGAGAATGTGCACAATTGACTTGTTTCAGTGCACCAAACAGTGTGCAAATGATGGGCTAATTTGTCTGTGCCTAGCTATGCAAGATCCTAAAATCACTAGTATCAATAATTTTTCAGTCTAGCAATACTTTGTAGCATTCCATTTCTACACTTACAGCAATGCTATTTACTTTTGTATCTGAAGGAGTACGTGTCAAATGGAGTTTGTTACTTACCACTTAACTCAGCTGCACTTTTTGGTGTATCCTTCTCTGTGGCCCGGGTAAACACACCAACAGTTGGCAGTGAACTGTCAACAATACCAATGGCTTCATAGCCAACATCAGGACCAAGATCACTCCTAGAGTAAGGGGGGGTGGGGGGGAAGGGCAGGGGCAATAAAAAAAATTAAATAAAAACGGTCTATACATATACAATGCCATAAAAATAAAAAATATATAGGTAACAAGTTTAAAACAAAGTGCTTTAAAGCCAACTAAAACCAACAAGAAAGTTTGTGGACTCCTCAGCCTGCCTCCTTAAAATGGTAAAATATATTAATGGAAAATTAATATATTCATTTTTCAAGATCACTTTAACTAACAGTTTAGGTGTATTATTACGGTCACTGACTTTCACAGCAATCACAGTCCCTGTCACAAATTAGGATTCTAGAATTAGTCTGAATATTAGGGTTAGAAACATTGTACATGTTAGAATTGATGTTAGCATTAGATTAAGATTTTAATTTCTTGGTGCACTTCATTAGGTTAATTTTTTTTAAGTTAATTTTTTGTGTTTTTTTTTTTTTTTTTTAAATACAAAAATTAAAAGTATAAGAAGCTAGTTTATGCGACAACAGATATGTCACTGGCAAGAAAACCAGATACATGTCAACATTAGGGCATATCCCTAATTTTATCCTAGAACTTAAAAAAAAAAAAAAAAAAAAAAGGTCCGGATTCAGTATATATTGGGGCATTTATGTACTTGTGTCAAGAGGTTTAACACAATTTTTGGAGGGGGGCTTAGAATAGTTAACCTCTTTAGAATGGCCTCTTTTACCCTCTGCGGATCTAAACTGGTTCTTCTGCAATCCACTTTAATTCATTTTTTTTTCTTTTTGGTATACATTTTTTCCAGTGGTTTCTATAGGATTACAAATAGAAAGAACGGAAAACCAATCTGCCAGATTAGTTTGTGGCCACATTGTAAATTATTAATTGGAGGAACACACACAGATAAAGGATTGCATTGCTTTGAATAACTTCTTTGTTATACTGTATTTTCTTATAAATCTTGGTTAGGATGTCATTTGTGGTGTATGTATTTTGGAATTGTAATATTAAATTAAATAGAAAAAGTGTTTATTAAGGGACACTACAGTCACCAGAATAACTGCAGGCTTTTTAATGCAAACACTGCCTTTTTTCATTACTGTCTAGGAACACCTCTAGTAGGAACACTAGAGGTGGTTCCTGGGTCAGTGCACCACTGACGTTCAGCGTCTCCACATTCTGCATTGAGGCACTGAACGTTCCTCATAGAGATGCATTGATACGCAATAGCATCCCAATGCTTTCCTATAGGAAAGAATCAGATTAGCGGAAATCATCAAAAGTGATGTGGGACCAGCCACGAGGAGACCTGTGCAGCACTGAAAAAATGTAAGTAAACTACTGGAGACTGGAAAGATGTTCAAACAAGATGTGTATGATGCAAGATGTCAGTTTTTATTTCCTGCTCTGTAAATTGAACTTTCATTACATACAGTATGCTCCTGCAGTGTCTAGCAAACTATTAGAGCAGGAGATAAGAAATTCTAAATTAAACAGAGTTTGCAATAAAGTGTACACATTAGATGACTCTTTACAGGAAGTGTATTGGAAGGCGGTGTAAGTCACATGTAGGGAGGTGTGACTAGGGCTGTATAAACAAAAAGTGATTTAATTACTTAAAAAAATTTGTTGCTCTAGTCATGACTTGGGCACCCCATAATCTAAATTTGCCCCACCCCTTCTTGTCAAGGCCACACTTCTTCCTGTTTAAGACCAAAACAGACTTTGACAGACACACGTCAGACACAGTTAGGCAGTCTAAAGAGGTCACTGCACTGTGCAGGGAGTTAAGCAGAGAAGACTATGGAGACAAATTCAAACATTGTCTGACCCAAGGTGTATGCAAATGTATGGAGGATCCTATCATACACTAAAGCATGGGTGTCCAACCTTTTGGCTTCCCTGTGCCACATTGAGCTTAGAGGAATTGTCTTGTGCCACACATCAAATATATAATATAGTTAAAGTATATAATTAATAAAACTTTAAAAGCAGTTTTCTTAATTTTGATATTTCAATTTAGTAGATAACTCCCGTATTTGTTTTCCTTATGTGGGATTGCCATATTTAAAGGATACCAAATTAGGGAGCCATCTACTAAACACGTACACATGTATATACATTTGCACACATAACCACAGACCTACACGCACACAATATTACAGACTTGAGAGGTCCACCCAGCCTTCCTCTTGGAGGGCTAAATGGGATCCTTTGTCCCTGGTGGCTAGCAGTTGCTGCTGGGCTGGGATCTCTGTGCTCTTCCTGCACAGCTACCTCATTCGCCCAATAGTGATGCCGCCATATCCCGGCTTCTGGCTCATGACCCGGACAGTAACCAGCCACATTGCCAACGGTTCAGTGCCACATGCTGGCCACGAGTTGGACACCCCTGCACTAAAGGTACGGATGAGTTTTTCCCTCTTATTATTTTTTATTTATTTATTTTAAATATATTTAATTTAACATAGAATATATTTCCTTTCAAAACTTGATGAAAGGATCATTGTATTAAAAAAACAGTGAAGTGACAGTAGCCCTTTAATCTGTAGTGACACTACTAAATATTTTTACATGTGCATAGAAACAGTGTATAAGAATTTTCTTATCACAAATCACTCCACGGTTTAAAGGGGACTTCCAAAATAGTGTCCAGAGTGGCATTATTGCATTGAGTCTTCATTTGTGGCCTTCCTATCACCTATGTTTAACACACCACAATGATTCAACTACAGTTAATTGGCACGAGGAGTCTTTAGGTGAAAGCCTCCCCTCTGTTTTTAATCACAGTTTTATCCAAATTTAGATGGCAATTGCAGATTGCAAAATCTAGCTGTTTTATGTATTTTCTAACACTGATCTAAAAAATGTTTTATCGAAAGGCATTTTAATTTCATAATTAGAAAATTGGCTGCCAGTCAGACAAAAATTTTTTTTTTTTTTTTAAGTGTGACCACTGCACCAATGCCAGAAACACAAAATATATCCTGCTCCCTTACATGGACACAGAGATACATCTTTATTACTAATATAAATTTAGTTTACATTTTTCCCGCATACCCCATTTTTATGCTCTTCTAGTAGTTATGTAAATCATTCTCTAGGATTATGTCCGGTTTCCCAAAAATAATATCCTCTTGTGGTGTACTATAGACAAAATATGTATTGCACGACAATAGATTGAATTGATTATAGTGCTTTGAGTCCCCTGGCACTGTCTCTGCTTTCAGTGTTAAGCCATTTTTGAGCAATTCAATGAAGGTCCCTGGCCACCCACAGCCCAGTCTCAACTGGTGGCATGTAAAGATTATACACTTCTTTCTAGCTAACAATAGCTGTGATGAGCTAAATAGCCAATCATCGTCACCAATTCCTGCTCACGCCAATGTTTGTTCAGTAGCCCAGGCAGCACAGAGAAAATTGAGCATTAAAACGTTAAACCGTTTACTAATGAGTGGACGGACCTTGCCAGGGGACACAAGACACCGTAATCACTTAAATGAGATAAAACAGTTATAGTGCCTACTAACAGTTCTCAGACAAACATTAAAAAGCAAGGAAATTCTGAACTTCAACCCAAATCCCACTCTAGATGTGTTGCATGACAATTACTTACATACATACATGTGATTGGAAAACACAAAAAACATAGAACAAATTAATGTGAAATATGTTTTTTTAAAATACTGTTCAATAAAATTAGTTTGAAAAGAACACGATGTATGAAGTTACCAGAACATGGATTGATGCCAATAAGGTTTAGCAGCTCCGGTCATATTCTCCCCAGCAAGTCTTCCACTTACAACCGCATGATCATGGTGCTCAACTCGCCTGCGGCCAAGTTTAATATCATAGAAACAAGCTGCATCTCCTGCCTGTCAAAAATGCAGAATCCCATCACACCTTTTATTTGGAACAAGACAATAATTGAAATGCGCAAAAAAGGAGACTCACCACCCACACATTGTTGCGAGCCTGGAGTTCCGCATTAACCCTGTATCCCCCGAAGTCACCATCGAGTTCTAAGCCGGCAGATTTTGCCAGTTCCGTGTTGGGTTCTAAACCAACTGCAGCTACTATGTGATCAGTCTGCACCTAGTTTAATCACAGATAAGGCTTAATTCACAATATGTTGTAGGAAGTTGTAATTCAGATTCATATAAATCAACAAATTAAGGAAATGTACAAGACAAGAGAGTGTAATATAAACTTTAATTGTAGTTATATTTAAATAAGAGGATATCAACAAATCCAGTCCTAAATTACCTGTCTTCCATCCTTTAGAGAAATGTTAAGTTTTCCATTCTGATAACTGACAAATTTAACAACAGCATCGGACATGACATTTACACCCTCTGTAAGAGAAAGAGAGAGAAAAAATACAAACCGCAAGTTAAAGGAGAAACACCAAAGCGTGTATAAAAAAATTTAAATAAAATGAAGGGGGCGGAGCATAAACCTTTAACTGAACGGACGCTCCTTTCCTGAGCTCCTGCCAATTTATAATAAATCTGACGTAATCGCTGCAAACAGAGTCCTGCATTTAGTCCAGATTACTCACCTCACCAGCCCAGCAGTACAGGCTGTGTCCAGATGCTCTTCTTGTTCCCGCAAACAGACAGGAAAGTACGCTGCAGAGTTGGAGCCTACCGCACTATCGGCTCCACAAGCCACATCGTACCTCTCGTGCTCACACCGGAGGACACAGGCTTGAGCCCTCACAACGCCAGAGAGAACAGGCTCTGCGATGATACAATGGGACGAAAATCCCAGAAAGCCCAAGCCAGCACGTCCAAAGACTCCCAAGATATAGGAGTTCTGCTACAGCGCCCCGCCAGAGCACGATGCTAGCTCCTGCAGCTCGAACTCTGCCTCCAGAGATCATGGGGAACCTGCAAACCACAAGAAAGCGACCACAGTTCCTGCTGATCCGGACGCTCTGACCCCAGCCACTAAGCTGGACATGAAAAACCTGCTGCTGGAATTAAAGCAGAAGTCAGCAGCTGATATGGACTTAATGCAGTCCAAGCGGTGAGCGCTCGAGTCCAGGCCTCAATAGAGGACATCTCGGATGTACAGCAGGAGGTACAAGGATTAAGGGACACTGTATTGCAGCTACAGGTCTCAGAGAACTGGTGACCCGGCTAGACCTAGCGGATGATCGAAACCGCTGCACAAACAAAGATCAGGGGCATACCAGACACGAACGGCCCAACCGAACTGCCACACTACCTCTGACGCCTTCTCACCACTCTATTACCTCAGACCCTTGCTAAAAGGCTTACTCTAGAAGGCTAGTTCCGCATCAACAAACCCAGGCAAGAGCCAGCGGCAGGACCCCGAGACGTGATAGTCCGATGCCAATCCCGGCCGGATAAAAGCCGAATAATGGCCGCGGTTCGGGGGAAAACCTTGTTTGAATTTGAATCCGCACAGCTAAGCTTCTTTCAGGACTTAACCAAGAACACACTATTATGGAGGAAATACCTTGGCTCGGTAACACACAGTCTCAGAAAAGCTGGGGAGAAATACAGATGGACACTACTGACAGCCCTCACTGTAGAAAAAAAAAATTGCACTACATCTTGCTGAGCATCGCCTACTGACGCTGAAGTCTTTCTCCAAGCTCTGGGACTCTCAACAGGACCTGCAGCACCTGAGATGTCGACCACGACGCATACCTGGGACCCTGCACAAACTGCTCCCTTCATCCCCCGTACCACAGGGAAATCGGGAGCCAACACCTGAACTGTTTCCACCAAGAGAGGCACACATGCCTAAGTATCTCTGCTCAACAATATTCTCACTGTTCTAGATTAGTTTTTGTTGTAGCGGTTAGCCTTTTTTTTTGACACACCACTCAATGGCACACCTGTGCAACTGACACTTACCCATCACCGACAGCTCTCTCAAGTTTCAGGAGATTGACTCATTTTTCGTTAGCACAAACATAGCAGCCCACCGTGGCCCCCTCTGGTTAGGGATCGTAAGCGCATTACCCTGAGTCGTGCAAGTCCCCACCGCACGGACAAACATATCCTACCACATGTTCAGTTGCCTCCACACATCTGGAGCTACCTCTAAGGCAATCCCTAAGCAGCATATACGGCATTAATCTAGCCAAGAAATAAGCACCAGTCCTATGAGATATAGTGGGAACCCAGTTAGTATACGACTCTTTCCCCCAATCAATCCCTACACGCATACGTAGGGGTGGAGAGACAGCCATCAGCAGGACCATTCACATGCTCACTACCCACTTACTTTTACTCAGGCTAAGACATAAACCTGCATCGAATTCACAATATACAGTATAACTGCACCCTGTACTCTACAGCCCATACCAACAGACATCGTAGTGTTGACTTCATGCTATTTGACATGTCTAACCAATAATCTCAGACTAACTGTTAAAGCCACTTAACCATACAGACATGTCTATCACGCATGTACTTACCTGTTCTTTAACACCAAAAACAAAAAAAGAAGAAAAACAGGCTGTAATGTTCTGTTATGATCAGGTGTAGCACACCTATCAGGTCACAATATCATAATGACGGCTTCCTGCTTAGATTAGCTGGTTTGGCTAGTGTTCCTTGTACCGCCTGGGCAGATAATGACCTACCACTCACCCTGTCTAGGCTATATTAAGATGCTAAGTCCATGCTGTATCCCACCCTTATGCTATGTTTTGTTTTATGATTCATTTTCATTTGTACCTAGTGAGAGATATCTTCCCTCTTTAGATTAAGGATTTTAGTTTAATCTTGCTTATTCTCATTAACAAAATGTGCAATGTTTTCGTGGCCACACAAATATTATACTATGCCTGATGCTCAGTTTGCACTAGCGGTCGTGGCAGTGCAAACCTGCTTGTTTAACCTATGCACAAATAAAATAAAGAATTAATAAAAAATAAAAAAAAATTCAAATGTGGGGAATACCTAAAACAAAATGTTTACTATAAATAAATCAAAACACCTCTTAAGAAAATGCCCTTCTATAAAGATAAATATCCTACGAATGTGTGAAATTTAAAACACGCTATCCCCAGATAACAAGCCAAACCAAACCAAAGCGTTTTGACTCCTTACAATTGAGGAAAGTGGGATATTGAGGGGGGACAGGGCACTTCTAGTACCATAACTACAGTGAATTATAGTACTTTGAGTGTTTCTTTAAACTCCTACAGCTTTTTACCATTTGCAGATGCCAAGGACAAGTTCAGAACACAGTTCTCGACGGCTTGCATTGTAATGTGTAAAACACTAACGGACAATGAAGCCCTTCCCCAGGAATGAAAGGGAGAGTACATCAGGAATATAAAAATATTTAAAAAGGAAAGCGGCATGGGTGAGAAGAGAGTACATGAGCAGGAAGAGAAAAGGACCTGAGCAAGGGGAGTGAAAGGACATGAATAGGAGAGGAAAATCCAAGAAGTATGGTAAAGATGGTAAGGTGGGTATGACAAAAGAGAAATGATTAGGAAGAGGAAATAACTTGAAAGTGCAAATATTAAAAGTGATATGGGATGGGATGCATACACGGACAGCCACAACATTAAAACCACACAGTGCCATATATGATTGGTTATTTAAGACTACATGATGAAGGCCTCATGGCCGAAACGTTGTGCCCTTGTTTTGACCTGCACCCTGTGGGTCTTGACTTGTGGATATATTTGGAGGCTAGCGGACATCTGCCACAGAGCTCCTGTGCTACTGATTAGTGTGCAACACTCTACTACTTGTCTGAGTTCTTGAATTTCAGATGATGTAAGCAGGAAAAACGGCAAGCGAAAAGATCTGAATGACTTTGATAAGGGTCAAATACTGATGGCTAGATGACTGGGTCAGAAGAACGCCAAAACAGCAAGTCTTGTGGGGTTTATGGTATGCAATGGTTAGTACCTACCAAAAGTGATAGGAAGGACAATGGGTGAACCGGCATCAGGATCATGGGAGCTTAAGTCTCACATGGTGAGCGTAGGCTAGCCCATCTTGTCTGATCATACAGAAGAACTACTGTAGCTCATATTGCTGAACAACATAATGCTGGCCATGTAAAGAGGTATGAGAACACTTAGTGCCTCACAGTTTGCTGCGTATGGGGCTGTGTAACTGCAGACCTGTCTGTTTGCCATGAGGCCCCCAGTCTACCAACAAAAGTGCCTTGAATAAGGACGAGAGCATTAGAACAGGACAATGGAAGAAGGTAACCTGGTCTACGAATCCCTTTTTCTTTTATATCAGGTGAATGACCGGGTGTGGGAGGGTGCATTGTTTACCTGGGGGAAGAGATAGCAGCAGGATGCATTATGGGAAAAAGGCATGTCGACGGAGACAATGTTATACTGGGAAACATTGGGTCCTTTGGCATTCATGTGGATGTTACTTTGACACTTACCAACTACAGTTAGGTCCAGAAACATTTGGACACTCACATCAGTTTCATAATTTTGGGTCTGTACACCACCTCAATGGATTTGAAATGAAATGGAGTTGTAATATAAGTGCAGACTTTCAGCTTTAAATCAAGGTGTTGAACAAGAAAATTTTCATACATATTCTTATTTCAGGGACTTAAATATATTTTTTTGAAAACACTTGAGAAAGCCTGTTTAGGTGAAACGCGTTAAGTGTATTACTGATAGTTTTTTTTTGTTTTTTTTAACTTTGTTACTGTTTTTATTATAATTTTATATAATTACTTATTTATTGGACCGGTTTCTGCTGCTGTTGGATCCTTGGGCTATATATCCTTGATGGGGATAATACCACCTAAGCATATTGGATTGAGCAAACCATATTTTGCTCTAAAGCATGTGAGTAGCTTTTTTTATCTTTTTATTGTGCCTTGCACTCCATAATAACTGTGTACACAATTGTGGCTTTTATTTTGTTTATTTCGACACTGAACAAAAATTTAAACGCAACACTTGTTTTTGCTCCCATTTTTAAACATTCAATTCATGGGCAGCAGCTCTGGTGGACATTCCTGCAGTCAGCATGCCAATTGCACGCTCCCTCAAAACTTGCAACATCTGTGGCATTGTGCTGTGTGATAAAACTGCACATTTTAGAGTGGCCTTTTATTGTGGCCAGCCTATGGCACACCTGTGCAATAATATTGCTGCCTAATCAGCATCTTGATATGCCACACCTGTGAGTTGGATGGATCTCAGCAAAGGAGATGTGCTCACTAACACAGATATAGACAGATTTGTGATCAATATTTAAGAGAAATAGGCCTTTTGTGTACATAGAAAAAGTCTTAGATCTTTGAGTTCAGCTCATGAAAAATGGGTGCAAAAACAAAAGTATTGTGTTTATAATTTGTTCAGTGTATACACATACCTATGGAGAGACACATAATACACCTATATCCTCGAGTGGGGGATCATACCACTTCACACACTTTTTTTGGAGCCAATCTACATGTGAGGGCACATTTTACATTTATACCTACCCCTGCTTCAAAGCCCAATATACTAAACTATACTATGTTTATCGGTTTTATTTTTATGAGGATACCTTCTTTAACTATGACCACGTGAAGAATCTGCACTGCACTATATCCTTAGGCGGGGATCATTCCGCCCAGGCGCATAAGTTGGAGCTGAATTGAAGCTTCATAAAAGTGTGAGTGCACATTTTTATCCAACATCAGTTTTAATATACTACACTATCAGTTTTTCCTGTTCTTTTTCCTCGTCATTGCATATATCCAAATAAGAACTATTTAGACACTGAACTTACCCAGTTTTAACCGTAAAAGAGAGAGACTCCCTACTTGGTGAGTGAGCCGCCACTGGACTGTAATCATTTTATAAGCGCTGATAAAGGTATGCCTACCTACTGGAGAGTGTTCTTCAATTTGCTGGATGTTGTGAAGGTTTTTTATTTTTCTTTACCATGGAAAGGATCCTATGACCATTCACCAATGTTTTCCGTGGACATCCAAGCCTGTGATGCTGAGCACACCTGTGCATTTTTATTTCTTCACATGTACCAAACTGTTGATATGACCATTCCTATTTTTTTTTTTTGCAGCCTAAGTGTGGCCAGTTTCACTTGCATTGGGAGCTCCTTTGATCACATGTTGGAAGTTCTTGTAAGTTCACAGGAACAGCTTCCAAACGGAATACCACACCTGTAATCAACTCCAAACCTTTTACCTGTTTTACTGATAAAGCAATAATAAAGGAATAGCCCACATCTGTCCATGAAACAGATTTGAGTCAATTGTCCAATTATTTTTGGTCCCTTGAAAAAGAGGGAGCTACATATTAAATACCAAAAATTACTAAACCCTTCCTCCAATTTGTAAGTGAATAAATTCAAATTAAAAGGTGAGAGACTGCACTTTATGCCCACATTCATTATTAAAATTGTAACCTGAATTTATCTTGATAAACAGCCCAATTAACAAAACTTGTGTCAGTATCCAAATATTTCCAGGGCCTAACTTTTCCCTTTAGATTGTTACCAACCATATACACCACTTCATGGCAATAGTATTTCCTGATGATAGTGGACTCTTCCGGCAGGATAATGCTCCCTGCCACAGTGACATGGTCCTTAAATCATTCCGGAGCGATTTTTGCAAAGAGTTTAAAGTGTTTCCTTGGGCCTCCTAATTCAATCCAATTGAGCTTCAGTGGGATATGCTAGAACAACAAATCCGATCCATGGAGGCCTCAATTTTCATTACCTAAAGGATCTGTTGCCAACATCTTAGATCCAGATATCACAGGACACATTTAAGATCTTTTGAAGCAAATGCCTCGATGCATCAGAGCGGTTTTTGACATTTATAAACAGCGCATCTTTTATTGTATTATTGATTTTGTATTTATATGACTGTCCATAGGACCATGTCTGTTATACTGTATGTGACTGCATGGAGTTCGTACGAATGTGTGTATATGTTTGTGTGTTTGACTGTGGGGAAATTATATACTCTGAAAATCGGTTTGAAAAATCTGTAAATTACATATTCAAACATGTATAATCATACAAAAGAAGCAACAGATGAGAATTGATTGATAACTTAAAAAAAAAAAAATTGTCAATTGAGTAAACACACAAACACAACCAAAGAAAACCAGCCAATGCCTACAGACATCATTCAGCAACCACCACACAAAAACCTTTAGCCTAGCCCCACACAACTACATTCAGCAAACTACATGTGTATCACACACACACACAGAGAGGAGCTTTGTGATACATTCATGTATTGTGCACACCACAGTTTATTTTTTTTGTGGAACTCTGGGGACTTAAACACCTTATTGTTGCATGGGTGTATGAGAGGGGCATGGGTATAATGAGAAAACTAGCCAGGTGCTAGCAGAGAGGGTAAATCCAGCTGTGAGAAGAAGTGAAATGAAAGTGGCAGTAAAGGGTTTTAGTGGGAGAGAAGAACAATGCAAAAAGAGGCAATACTGTTAAAGAAGGGGGCAATGATACACAAAGAGGAAAAGAGGGCAAATGTGGTTAGAGAAGGGTACATGGTGAGAGGTAATATGCATGAGAAAAGAAAGTGACATAAGGGAAGATGAGTGGACAAGGGAAGAAGAAGCATGACAAATGATAAAATAAGCATCTAGATCAAGGAGAAAAGTTCTCTCATAATTTTGGCCTTTCAGTTCTTTAGTAGAGAGCTACCCAATTTGGTATACTTATATTTGCCAATCCCACATAAGGAAACCAAATTAGTAACCATCAGTGGCATCATGCTGTGCCCCCCCCTTGGGCCCCCCAAATGCCAGCAACATGTTCTTACATTCTATTCCCTTGGGCTGTAACAGTGTGTTACAGCCCGGGGGAGGGAATGCAGGGCAGAGGAGCTCAGCTAGAACGGTACTGGAGGCTGTCTGTGGCCGGAGGGAGCACTGACAGGCTCACTGGCACAGGCCCCGCCCCCAAACGAAGCCCTGCCTCCCGCACATAAGCCCCGCCATTAAGCAGCAGGCCATGCTGCTGCTGGAAAGGCAAGATGATGGCTATCTGACCTCCAGCAACAGGTAGGCTTGATACGCTCAGGTGTGTGTGTGGACTCAGCAGTCTGTGTCTGTGTGTGGACTCAGCAGTCTTTGTGTGGACCTTTAAATTAAAGGTGAGAGACTGCACTTTATGCCTACATTCAGTATTAAAATTGTAACCTGAATTTATCTTGATAAACAGCCCAAATAACAAAACTTGTGTCAGTGTCCAAATATTTCCGGGCTTAACTTTTCCCTTTAGATTGTTGCCAACCACATACACCACTTCATGGCAATGGTATTTCCTGATGGTGTGTGGACTCAGCAGTCTGTATGGACTCAGCACTGTGTGTGCACAGGCCCCGCCCCCAAATGAAGCCCTGCCTCCCGCACATAAGCCCCGCCCCTGCCATTAAGCAGGGGACCATGCTGCTGCTGGAAAGGCAAGAAAATGGCTGTCTGACCTCCAGCAACAGGTAGGCTTGATATGCTCAGGTGTGTGTGTGTGTGTGTCTGTCTGTCTGCTTGTGTATGGACTCAGCAGTCTGTCTGTGTGTATGGACTGTATCAAGTGAAATGTGTTTGTTTTTTAATAATCCTTGGTGGAAAATAATGAATTCTCCACCATAGATTATAAAAAAACAAAAAAAAACAAAACCACACATTGTGTCAGGGGCGGGGCTTAACATGCGGCAGGGGCGGGGTTAAATGTTCCCCCCTACTTTAGTCCCTGGCCCACCATGTGCCCAAAAGGAATCCTAGAGACGCCACTAGTAACCATCCACTAAACTGCTGAAAAATTAAGAAATGAGCTGCTTCCCTGTGTTTGTTATTTTCATTGCTATATCACATTTCTGGCAATACAGGTGAATGCGGCCCTCCATCTATACACAGACATAACAGGCACTGGTGTGCAAAAAGATGACCCCCGGTTTAAAAAAACCAACCAAAAAAAAAACCCCTGCAGTTAATCAACTGCCCAGACAATCTTACTGGGGCTTAGTTAAAGAGGCGTCCTGTGGTTCCCATAAATGGCAATACCCAGGAAACTCAAAATGCTATGAGGTTTCTCAGGTATGGGTAGAAGCAGAAGAGCAGCTCCCTACCATGTCTGGAATGGGGTATATGTGCTTCAAGAGAGATTATTTATGAACAGCCCTTTTTTTTACGGTATTGAAATTTAAGAGATAAGTTTCATTTACACAAGACAAAGGAAGGACTACTTTAAAACAATAGCGTACATTAAGCAATAGGGCATAATAGTCATAAGAGAAAAATAAGAGGATGAGACACATGACTGGGCAGTTGACTTAAATAGTTATGCATTATTTAGGGACGATGGAAAAAACAGGAGGGCTGGTGGAGTAAGTTTGTATGTCAACCATGAGTTAAAGCCAAATATCAAAGGGACACTATAGTCACCAGAAAAACTACAGCTTTAAAAGCGCTTCAAACTGGGTGTTTTGGCTTCTTTTGGATCAACAGCAAAAGCAGATGTGAGAAAGTTGGTACCTGATGGGCACGTCTCTTTTCAGCCTACGTAACTATACTTTGTCTCATGTAATTGATGATTTTTGGCAATTTTAGCAAAAGACCCACCTGAATTATGAATGATGGCACCTTACTGCACAAGACTGTCCATGAAATTGTACTTACATGCATGTAGCCTTATTGTGCCTTCATATTTTGCACTGTTGGTTTTAAGCACTTTGTAACAAAGTAAGTCTTTGTTTACTTAAGAGTCAGGCATACGTTTAAAATAACGGAAAGTAGAGAATTTGTTGTACTAAACATAACATTTTGAAATATTAATTTGGTTAACAATGTCCCTTATTTTTCTGGGTACTATAGGAATTTTGAAAGAAAATGTCTTCAAATTGACAAACAAATCCTACTTTACATAACAGGCTTACACACTACTGACATCCTGAATCAAAAGGGAGTGTACATACTCAGCCTACTGACTGGCTTGTTTCACTGAAAACATGACGTATACCAAATTTCTGTTAAATGGCTGAGAACATAAATATGGATTTTCCAAATAATTTAAGTATCCAAACAGCTTTAGCTTAATGAAGTAGTTTGGGTTGTGCGAGATCATGCCCCTTCTGGCTCAGTGCTCAATTCACTGCCATTTAGGAGTTAGATCACTTTTGTTTCTGCGTATGCAGCCTTTACATCTCCTTTGACTGTGACTCACAGCTTCCATTTAAAAAAAAAAATAAAAAATAAAAAAACACCTTTAATTTCCAATGTGATCTTACAGCACACTAGGTTTACTTTAGAAATTTGTATTACCTGCTATGTTCACTGAAGTTTAAATCACACACACACACACACACACACACACACACACACACACACAGATCCTGCAGGCACTAAAAGGCTGTAATTTAAATTATAAATTAAACACAAACATACAGTAAGACTAATAAAAGTCAATTTGAACATTAGATCTCTCTACAGGTGGAGCGTGGAGAGACGCTGTGCAAGTCACAGCTGGGGGGGGAGGGGGGTGATTTAACAACTATATAGCATAGACCAGTGCGCCGAGACTGTAGATGCATGATCTATACAGCGCAGCCAGTTCATTAAGCTAAAGTTGTATTGAAGCAGTGCGTCCCTTTAAAAAAAAATTTGATTAACTGTTCCTATACATTGCTGTGACAACATTATTAAAGGTTAACAGACTTAATTCAACAAATATTTCAAATTTTACTTGATAAACCTCACCTCCTCGCACCTTTTCGGTGGTCCAGTGGCTAAGATATTCTGGAAGAACTTTTCCCATGTTACCACTCTCAGGGAACATCTGGATAACTTCAAGACCAGTTTGCCTCCCTGTAATATATGAGTGAAAAAGTTGCTAAAAAGTTTCAGGTGCTGAATTTAAACACATTATGTGCATTGCAATGACCCAGTGGTAATCTTACCTTTCCTTGCCAAAGCGCAAGCCAACTCACTTCCTAGAAACCCGCCCCCAATAATGGTGATTGAGTCAATTGAGGAGGAAAGGTTACTGAGGGAACGAAAATCTGATACCTGCACAGGGGGAAATAAAAACCATTATGGGATGACATTACGTAAAATAGGATTCTCATCCAATTTCACAAATGTAATTACCCTTCTAAATAAGGTGGTTCTCTGCATCACATTCTCTCCAGCACGTTCTATGGATGGGAGGTTTCTAGGAGTTCCTCCTATAAAAAGAATAGCACAACAAACATATGTTTTAAAAAATTAATTTTTTTATTTTTAATTTTTTTTTTTTTAAAGGGCACTAAAACAAAGTTAATAGATTTTGACTTAAAGGGACACTATTGTCACAACAACAACTATAGTTTAATATATATACACCTTTTTGCTGTAAACACTGCCTTTAACCCCTTAAGGACTGGACTGTTTTTGCGATGTTGTACATTTGCGACCAGGAATATTTTTACACTTTTGTGGTGTTTGTGTTTGGCTGTAATTTTCCGCTTTCTCATTTACTGTTCCCATACAAATTATATATTGTTTTTTTCAGGACAAAAGGGGCTTTCTTTACATACCATTATTTATATAATCTCATGTATTTTAATTTAAAAAAAATACAAAAATCTGATGAAAAATTGAAAAAAAATACATGTTTTTTGACTTTTACTTGAAAAATCTTTTACTCATCTACAAAAGCGAATGAAAAAAACTGCTAAATAGATTCAAAATTTTGTCCTGAGTTTAAAAATACCTAGTGTTTACGTGCTTTTTGCATGTTATAGGGCTATAGGTACAAGTAGGATATTGCGGTTTCAAAACATAAATTTTTAAAATTTATCAATAGTGACATTGTAACACTATTATCTGTCATAAATCTCTGAATAACACCCCACATGTACATATTTTTTTTAAAGTAGACAACCCAGGGTATTCAATATGGGGTATGTCCAGTCTTTTTTAGTAGCCACTTAGTCGAAAACACTGGCCAAAGTAAGCATTCATATTTGTTTGTGTGTGAAAAAAGTAAAAAAACTAAATTGAACGCTAATTTTGGCCAGTGTTTGTGACCAAGTGGTTACTAAAAAAGACTGGACATACCCCATTTGCAATACCTTGGGTTGTCTTCTTTTGCAAATGGTATGCCATCATGGGGGTAATTCTCATTCCTGGGCTACCATACGCTCTCAAAGGCAACGTAACCAACCTGGCCATTTTCAATGTAAAAATATTTGACCCATATATTTGACCTTGTAACTTTCAAAAATGCTATAAAACCTTTACATGGGGGGTACTGTTTTACTCGGGAGACATCGCTGAACACAAATATTAGTGTTTAAAAACTGGAAAACGTATCACAACAATATCATCAGTAAAAGTGCTGTTTGTGTGTGAAAAATGCAAAAAAAGTAACTTTCACTGACAATATCATCGCTGTGATATGTTTTACGGTTTTGAATCACTAATATTTGTGATCAGCGAAGTCTCCCGAGTAAAACAGTACCCCCCATATACAGGTTTTAGGGTGTCGTAGAACGTTACAGGGTAAAATACAGTGCTAGCACATTAAATTCTCTGGAATTTCGGCCTGGGTTGGCAGGCAGGTCCCTCAAATTGCAATCAATAAAATTACTGAATTATGTAAAAATATTACATAAATACGCACGTAGAATTTAAATATATATGCATATATATATATTTGAAGTCTACGTGTATATTTATATAATTATTTATGTAATTTTGTATATGGACGTATGTATATTTCTTATTTTTATTTATTTTTATATACATAAATATATATACAAATTCATTCTAAGTGTATTTTGATATAAATATATATATATTAATTTTAAAATACAGTTAGAATAAAATTTCATATAGCTATATAATTTTTTTTACATTTTTTATTATTATTTAAAAAAATTTTTATTTAATTTAAATTACTTATTATTTATATTTTATAATAATATATATATACAATATATATAATTATATATATTATATATATACGTGTGTAATTTAATTATAAGTGTATTTTTATATTAATATAAGTACATATTAATATAAAAATACACTTCACACGACTTTTGTATGTGAAATGTGCTAACTGTAAAATACAGAATCTCAAACTAGTGAACGGACAACAGGTCGACCACGGTAGGAAGGGTGCGACTCAATAACCAAGCCACCATTTGCCCACCCCTCATCCCTATCCTACCTTCCGTACTTTGTACCCCCGACCCACTGCCTACCCCCCCCCCCTGATCCTGGTCATGGAGACCTATTTGTATTCTCACACCTCCTTGGCAAATGTAAGATGAGTACTGTATGCAATATTGTACCCTATCCCCCTCCCTCTTCCTTTTTGTACCCCACCCCATCCTCAACACCAAACGATTGCAAAAGTTGATCTAACCATAGAATCTAGTTGTATACAAACAACATACGCTGTAACCAAAGATGTAATATCTGCATTCCTGCTCAAATTGTTTGACTGTCGCTTTGAGTACATGCCTGTTATACAAAGATTGTAACACAAACTTTAACCCCACTTTTTTTTTCTGTACCCCTTCCCCCAAAAAACAAAATCTTTACAAATAAAGAATTTTCAAAAAAATACACTTAGTATGACATATATATATATATATGATATATAGACATATATTATATAGATATAATATATGTCTATATATCATATATACACATATATAATTATTTTATTTTTTTTAATTAACACTAACTTTATTTTTTTTTCTGATTTTACACAAGCAGGGAGACTGCCTGTCAGCACAGACAGTCCCCCTGCAGGCAGACACATGGACACCTATTGTGACCATGTGATCGCTGTGTTAAGCGATCACATGGCCACAGGGGTCCTAATCTGCCGTGGGGAGACTGTCTGGGCTGCAGGCAGTCTCCCCACAACCGGAGGAACACTGATCGCCGCCGGGGGAACGACGGCGATCAGGTAAGTACCCCCAGACCGTTAGGACGGTTCAGGACCGTCATCGGTCGGCAAGGCAAAAATGCCGATGACGGTCCTGAACCGTCCTCGGTCCTTAAGGGGTTAAAGAGAAAAAAAAACCAAAAAACAAAAAAAAAAACCAGTGTTTACATTGCTCCCTAGTGACACCTTCAGTGGCCACTCCTCAGCCGGCCACTAGAGGTGCTTCTTGGGTCAGTATCTCCATGCTCTGCTGATTTGACCCAGCCCAGCCTCCTTTACGATCTCAACCAATCCAATTTTTTTTTTCCATATGGTAAAGCATTGTTTTGGCTGAGATCATCAATTTTGATAATGCCTGCCGCGGCAGATCGGGAGCGGGGCAAGTGCAAGCGGACCCGCGAGACGCTGGAAATCAGGTAAGTTTTCTTAGCTAAATGGTGGTTTTAACACTATAGGGTCAGGAATACACGTTTAGATTTCTGACCCTATATTGTTTCTTTAATTTGCATGTTTAAATACCGACAATTGCATGAAACGTTTAAGTGCTAAAGAGGTTAAATCTATTTAATTCTCCCCCCAGTGGTTATTTGCCATTTATTATTTTTTTTTCAAATGTGTATGTCAATAAAAGCATTATGTTAAGTTATCCCGATACTCTCTCGGGGGACAAGCAATTTTTGCTTTTTGAATAAGGACAGTTTTTGTAAAAATAAGAAAGCTTGCCAACTTCATAATACCCCCATTGTAATATACATCCTGCCTTATCTTAGTACAGACCAGCTTTAGTACTTAACAGCACTGATCTCTAAGGTGCATCAAGCTAGGATAGCACCTTTTAAATAGACATGTGCAGGGAGAAATTTAGAATTATAACCAGTATTTCAGTTGTAATTGCTTCCTTCTACCCCTCCCCCATCTATCAGTTTAGAGTGTCAGAGAAGGAAGGTTTACATGGAAGAGAGAAGAGATGAGAAGAGAGGAGGCAGCGAGAACTATACTGCCTGGTGATCAACCAGCAATAAGAGGACATGGCGGATCTGTGCATTAATGGGTGTCTGTGAGCACTGATAGGCAGGAGGGTGTGGTCTTTGGTTACCTGTGTGTGTCTGTGGCTATGGGGTGTCCATATATTTACAAATCGGAAATATGCATTTTTTTTTTTAGTATTTGAAACTACATTTGCTTTGGCGTGTGGTACATCTCTTAAACAACACTTTCATAGGACAGTGCTGGGCAGGAGTGGGTCTTTGTGTCAAATTGATTGAAACCGAACCAGGACTAGGAACACAGTTTTATTAGTCCCTGGCCTTATTTTATATCGAAGAGCTGCTCAAATGACCTATTGCATTTCTTCTGAATTCTGCCTGGGTCTGATTTTTGGGTCTGTAATGCAGAGCAGGGCCATTCTACTCTATGTGGTCCTACACTGGATGTACTTTAAGCTACAGAGACAAGAGCATGGGATGCCAGTGTGTCACAGTACTCCTGGTACTATTAACTCTACAGTGAGCTGTAGTGGTTACAATGCTTGGAGTGCTAGTTTATTCTGACACCAAACAAACTTGCAACGTACCTGTGGCAATTAAACACTTTTCATATGAGATGAGAGTACCATCGTCCAGTTTAACCTTGTTCTCTCGTACATCCATGTGTACAACCTGTAATAAAAATTTTTTATGTACAATCATCTTTCCTGCCTTATTGTAACATCCAAAAAGATCAATGCAACTTCCTGAATAATAACAAAATGAAACAAAAGATTATTAATCCTCACCTTCTTTCCAGTGAGAACTGAAACCCCTCCATGTTCAGAAGACATAAGTTCTTCAGGAGACACATAGAAGGAGGATGGCTGGAAGAAAATACTAAGAAAGAAAAGCAGGGATCAACAAAAATTCTATACAGCATGTAATTGTGCAGAATAGCTACATAGCAGTTTTGGTTCCATTGCAAACGTTTTTTTTTTTTTTTCTCCATTGCTTTGAGCAGTCTTCCTATTCCTACCTCCTCTCCTTGCCATTCCACTGTTTGAAGCGCAAGGTTTCTGACACATCAGGATCATCAGAAAACCACAGTTCCTTAGAAAGAGGTGGGCGCATGTAGGGAAGATCAAGCTCATCTGATATTATCAGGACCTGAAAAAAAAATTTTTTTTTAAATTATATTATATATATTTAAAAATAATTTTTAAACATGTTGGTTATACAGATAAGTACATAATTTTCGAAAATAGCAAAAACTCCCTCCTCCCTCTATAACTTAAAAGAAACATTATAGTGTCAGGAACACAAAAATGTATTCCTGACCCTATAGTGTTAAAACCACGATCTAGCATCCTGGACCTCCCTGTGCAGCACTGAACCAGGAAGCACCTCTAGGAGTAATATGAGGAGTGGCCACTGGAGGTGTCACTAAGCTGTAATGTAAACACTGTCTTTTCTCTGAAAAGACTGTTTACTGGAAAAAGCCTGCAAGGACAAAATATACTCACCAGAACAACTACAATAACATGTAGTTGTTCTGGTGACTACAGGGTCTCTTTAAATAGGGTTTTGTTTTTAATTCCAATTAAAATATCCCTCCCCAGGTCTGATTGCGGGCCTGCACTCAGCCAGCGGAACAGTCTGTGAATGGAACACACAAGTGCAGGCATGACATCAAGATAGGGCATGTAAGATAAACACCAGGAGCTTCACCTGGATGTCAGGTAAAAACATATTTCAAATGATCTGAAGTAACCCTTTAATATTTATACTGAGGGGGAAATGGTGGGAGTATTTTGAAAAGAATGAGAAGAGGATCAAGATTAGAAAGCTGTGTAACCTAGAGAGTAGTAATTAAGTGCAGTTTTGATTTTAGTCTTTGCAGTGACCTAAGGCCAGTCAAGAAAATGTTTATGCATGAGTGTGACTGATTAAATGAGGCTGTAAATGTATAAGTAATTGCATATGAAAGACTTGTACACACTTTTATGTGATCTTGTATGTAATGCATATGTTATCAGGCATGTGTAAAATATGCATTTATAGCGTCTGACTACATAAATATCTAATGTGCAATTGAAACAACATATTTATTGTAGGAATATAGATTTCCCCGGATATATACATGGCAGCACTACGTATGGGTATAGCTCCTCCCCTTCTCAAATTGGACTTTTTCTTTCTTTTTCTTCCCCTTTTAGCTTCTTTTCTGGATAGGTGTTCTCTGGGTTTCACGTTCCGGTTTTGGAACGCACGTCAAGTGTGCCCGTCGTCTTTCCAGGACTTCCGTTTTTCGTCACTTCCGGGTTGTTCGGCCCATCGTGTTCCTCACTCCGGTCATGGAACGCCAGAAAGAAATCTACTTTGTCAGCTTATCGCATAAGGGACATCTTCTGTAGCTGGTGTATGGCACATAAAATTTCTCCTTTGTCTCCCGGTATCAGTGACGTCTTTAAATTTTTGCAAGATGGATTTGATAAGGGGCTGAGCTTCAGCTCCTTGAAAGTACAGATTTCAGCTCTTTCTGCTCTGCTAGATCGGAAATTGGCATTTGATCCGGATGTGGGAAGGTTTCTTCAACCCATTCTCAAGCTACGCCCTCCTATAAGGTCTTGCTCCCCTCCTTGGGATTTACCTCTGGTTTTGCAGACCTTGTCTGGTACTCCATTTGAACCCTTAGATAATATTTCTCTGCTAACTAACATTGAAAACTTTTCTTCTGGTTGCACTGACCTCGGGTAGAAGAATTTCAGAGCTTGCAGCTCTTTCCTGCGAATCTCCTTTTTTAATTCTACAGGAAGACAGTTATTCTTCGTACGGTTCCAGCATTCAGACGTAAAGTGGTATCCGCATTTCATATGAATCAGGACATCATCTTGCCAGCCTTTTTCCCTCATCTGAAGAAGAGAGATTGCATGGTTTGGATCTGGTGCGTTGTTTGTCTGTTTACCTGAAATCGTACTTCTCATATAAGAAAATCCGCTAATCTGTTCATTCCTACAGGATACAATAGGGGTCAGGCTGCTTATTCAACTTCTATTGGCCGATTGTTAATCTCAGTCATTAGTCAGGCTTATGCAGCTTCTGGGGTTCCAGTTCCACCAGGTCTTCAAGCTCATTCCACCAGATCATTGGCCTCTTCATGGGCAGCTGCAGCCAACATTTCTCTGGCCCACATTTGTTCAGCAGCAACATGGTCCTCCTTTAACACATTTATTCATCACTATCAGCTGGACGTAGTTCGTTCCTCTACCACAGAATTTGGTAGAAGTGTCCTCTCCGCTGCCTTATAGTTGATTTGTCAATAAAGAGTTGTAATTTGCACTGACTTAGCCGTTTTTTGGTTATTTTTATTTCCCCCTCCCTTGTACCTTTCGGCTTGGGTATAACCCATACGTAGTGCTGCCATGTATATATCCGGGGAAAACAGAAAATTTACACCATACTCACCGATAATTTATTTTCCTGGATATATGCCATGGCAGCACTACAGTCCCACCCTTTTCTAATTTTTGTGGCTTTAAACTAAGACTGAAGGGACATGGGAGAAAGTCTCTTATTAATAAGGAGGTGGTTCCTGTCCAATTGAGAAGGGGAGGAGCTATACCCATACGTAGTGCTGCCATGGCATATATCCGGGAAAAGAAGATATCGGTGAGTATACATACACACACACACATATATATATATATATATATATATACACATATATACACATATATATATATACACACATATATATACACACATATATACACACACATATATACACACACATATATACACACACATATATATATATATATATATATATATATATATATATATATATATAGTGTGTGACTGCATATCTCACTGTATTTATGTAACTTCTTATATAGTTAAAGGACCACTCTAGGCACCCAGACCACTTCAGCTTAATGAAGTGGTCTGGGTGCCAGGTCCCTCTAGGAGTAACCCTTTTTTTTTTTTTTAGCAGTTTCAGAGAAACTGCTAAGTTTATAAATGGGTTAATCTAGCCTCTAAAGCCTCTAGTGGCTGTCTCATTCTCCAAATTCTAGTGGCTGTCTCATTGACAGCCGCTCTTGCGTGTGAAAACTCAACAGTGAGAACATCGTATCCATAGGAAAGCATTGTAAATGCTTTCCTATGAGACCGGCTGAATGCGCGCGCAGCTCCTGCCGCGCATGCGCATTCAGCCGAAGAGGAGGATCAGAGGCGGAGAGGAGGAGGAGAGCTCCCGCCTGGCGCTGGAATAAAGGTAAGTTTAACCCCTTTCCTCGCCATCCAGCCCGGCAGGAGGGGGTCCCTGAGGGTCGGGGCACTCTCAGGGCACTATAGTGCCAGGAAAACGAGTGTGGTTTTCCTGGCACTATAGTGGTCCTTTAAGGTGCATGTGTAACACCCTTTAGAGATTCTGGTTTATGCATGGAGGATGTAAGTGCACCTCTTTGTGATGAGAGTATCTTTGTAGTATAAGAATTCATTTGGTGGTGTATGGAAACATGAAACTACAGACACTTACTCTAGATCCTGGATCTCTTGCACGTATGGATCGAGCAGCGGCAAAAGAGGCTGTGCCTCCACCAATCAGAATGTAAGGAACATGAGTTAACACTGCACTGGTTGCAGATGCCTTCAATTGACCTAAATATTAACAATAGTGAGTAATGTGGTTGATTTCCAACACACAAAATTAAATGAAAATATGAATGCGGAGTCTAAATTTCCACCTACTTGTTTCTATTTCACCTTGCGATTCTGCTTTTTCCCCAGTTTGTGTAGCATCCTCTTTTGATCCTAAGTAAAGAGCAAATGTATTGTCAACTAAAGCTCATCTTAAATTGTGCTCACTTCCCCATTGGATAGTACTTTTTCACTCACCTGTCGTTTTCAAATCTTCATGTTTCCCTAGCAAAGGAGAGATATTATATGTCAAGCATTGGAACATAGATACCACTGGACATTTGTCTCCATCTCCCCACACATACCAGTTGCTGCGATGAACCCAAAGACCAAACATACAAAAGGTGCAATTTGATTACATTGCTATTGTTCTGAAATTCATACACAGTCTTTACCTTCAAAGCTGGTGGACAAAGACACAATTCTTTCCTTAAATCTGTCTCTGTCCTTACGGAGGGTTATATAAACCTGAAATAAAGAATATATTGCATAGTATCCAACACCAATCTTGCCATTGTATTCATTTAAGATGCGACCTACGAGCACACTTACATAGACTCCGGCACCTAGTGCTGTAATTCCAACAACCAGGGCATAAAGCGAGCCATCTCCTTTTGGTTGCGAATAATTAGATGTACCCCCTGAACATCTGAAGGTCTGTTGAGGTGTTAGTAATGAACGATTAAGAATAAATCCTGAAACGAACAATACAATAAAAATAAATCCTCCTCAACGAAAAAAATACATGCAGTATTACTCATCAAGGTATGACATTTGAGTGATTTAAAGGGATTCCATGATACATTTCAAATTTTAGATCCTCCAGATAGGAGGATTCCTCCGGACTGACCTGTGGAATTTTTCCTAGTTCGTCTATTTAGTTCTACAATTTGAAATGCACCTTGAATACTCGAAAATACAGTCTACATTCGAAAGAAAAAAAAAACCTGAAGGACAAGCACATTGAACATAGAAAGGATAGACAAACAAGTAACCCAAAGCCCAGACAATACAAAGGTGTATATCACCAAGGCCAGTGGCAATCTCTCACCCTTCCTGGACGGCAACCTCGGTCTCACTTGATTAAAAAATCTTGCTGCTAACAGCCCTGGGGCAAACATCCTGCGAGCCGCCATGACTGTGACCGCTCTACGCGTGTCAGACTCCCTTCGATTACGTTTTTAGAAGTTGTCAAAGCGCACAGGCGGCCATGTTTGATAAGGGAGCTCGTAAGGGCACTTCTCCCATCTGTAATTGTTGTGAATTGACAAAACACGTGTTCTGTACTAGCTAAAAAAAAAAAAAAGACCCAAATGTAAAAACCAAATGACAGGAATAAACGTGTTTTGAATAGTAGTCGCGGAAGTTATTCCTCGTTAGTGCAGTGACCTCTGCAGGTCAGTTTCCAGTCACAGGGTTGTTCATTATCACGTTGCCCATACGCGCTTTGCAGGGAATTCGATTCACACTTTGTTTTGGATAAAATGTGGCTGCAGAGAAGTGTGCGGCAGTATTCTAGAACCATTCGGCTAAGCTCGGAAGCTATATGGCCACCAGGAGCTCCCCAGTCACAGCCCCATCTTATCACCACGCCGATATTCTACGTGAATGCTGCTCCCCACCTCGGACATGTGTACTCTGTTTTACAAGCCGATGCTCAACATCGATATGCCGCACTTTATGGGGAGAAGACCAGACTGAGCACAGGTATTTACTACAACCTCTTGTTATTCGCTCTAAACTGAGGCAGAGTAGATTTAAATAAAAAAACAAAAAAAAAAATTCTAAATTGTTTTATGCCATACATGGTGGTATTCAAATATTTAAGGCATAACACAAAGTTTAGAATTCTGCAAATTAATGTTGACAGTTTTCAATATAATGCATCTTAAAGGGATACTTGTAGGTACTTTAACAACGTAATTGTTCCTATGGGAAAGCATTGGATTGGCTAAAAATTGGCAATTCTAAAAATGTCATCAAGGAGGCAGGGTCAGCGCACCTGCACGGCTCTGGAAAGAAGGTGAGTTTTAAAGTTTTCATTCCTTTTAAGTTGGCTGAGGGGAGGGGGGGGTAAAGGGAGCTATAGTGCCAGGAATATTATTATTATTATTATTATTATTATTATTATTATTATTATGATATTTATAGAGCGCCGTCAAATTCCCTAGCGCTTTACAATGGGTGGACGAACAGACATGTATTTGTAACCAGACAAGTTGGACACACAGGAACAGAGGGGTTGAGGGCCCTGCTCAATGAGCTTACATGCTAAAGGGAGTGGGGTAAAATGACACAAAGGAGACTGGGTGAACATCTAACGGAGAAGGGAAGCGAGTTCCACAGGAACGGTGCAGCCCTCGAGAAATCTTGAAGGCGAGCATCAGAGGTGGGAGTACGGACAGAAGATAGGCGTAAGTCTTCAGTAGATCGTAAGGGCCTAGACGGGACATACTTGTGTATAAGGGAGGATAGATAGGTGGGAGCAGCATTATGTAGAGATTTGAAAGCAAGAACCAGAATTTTAAATTGAGCTCTATATTTTATAGGAAGCCAATGTAGGGACTGACAGAAGGGTGAGGCATGGGAGGTGCGGGCGGACAGGAAGATGAGCCTCGCCGCCGCATTCATTATAGAGTGTAACGGCGCTAGTTGGGAGCACGTAAGACCACTGTGAAGCGGATTACAGTAGTCAAGGCGAGAAAGGACAGTGGAATGGACCAACTCCTTAGTGGCATCTGGCGTTAAGTAGGGGCGGATGCGCGCAATGTTTTTGAGATGGAAATGACAGGATTTGGTGATAGATTGAACATGAGGCTTGAAGGAGTGGTCGGAGTCAAAGAGAACACCTAGGCAGCGAGCCTGCGTGGTGGAGCTGATGGTAGCACCATTGACTTGGAGGGAGACGGACACAGGAGTAACAACACTTGAGGGAGGAAAGACCAGAATTTCAGTTTTGGTCAAATTTAGTTTAAGGAAGTGGGCAGCCATCCAGTTAGAAACAGCAGAGAGGCAGTCAGAGACACTAGCCAAGAGGGACGGGGAGAGATCAGGAGAGGACAGGTAGATTTGCGTGTCATCTGCATAGAAATGATATTGGAAGCCAAAGGAGCTAATGCGTTTACCAAGGGAGGCAGTATAGATGGAGATTACCAAGGGAGGCAGTATAGATGGAGAATATAGCTTTGTGTTCCTGGCACTATAGTATCCCTTTAATAAGAGAGCTTGGAAGCGCAGTTTCAAGCAATGCCTCCAAGCCCTGTTGGTGTGAGAGCCAGGAACTTCCCCGTTTTCGTACCATAACATACCGTGACTTCCGAGCATTGGATTGGCAATCCGAGCATTGGATCTCACTGACAGCCGCTAGAGGCGCTTCTGTGAAAATTCCAGTGAGAAGACGCTGGACGTCCATAGGAAAGTATTAAGTAATGCTTTCCTATGGGCGCGTGGCTCTTGCCACGCATGTGGAGCTGAGAGGCGGATCGGGGCGGAAGGATCACCAGCACCAAGGGAGTCCGGCGCTGTAGAAAGGTAAGTACTGAAGGGGTTTTAAACGCACGCGCATACACTTGCTAACAGACACACACATTTACTGACCTAGACATACTCAGTTACAGACATACATACACACTCACTTACAAAACATATACTCTCACTGACAAGCACACACTCATGCCAGAGCCGGAGTTACGTCAGATTTTTGGATATGTTGGTCCCCCAGATCGGGGCTATCATGGGATAAGACTTTTGTGGGGATTCCATGTGTTTTGGGGGTACTTAATATCATCAGATTCAATTTCAAACCAATTTTGAGTATTATCATCTTGCTCCCATACTTGGATTAACTCAACCCCAAATTGCATTTATGCTCACCCATACTCTGTTCACACCCACATTACTAACTCTAGGGCAATTTAATGCCATTGCTTGTCCTGATGAACTTTCTGATTCTAAAGGTCTTTAACCTGTTATGACAGCCAACATACACTGTACAATTTCACCACTTACACTTGCCGTTGCCTTTTCAAATACTTCTACAACCACCTGACTAATTCTGGATTACCCCTGAATAATTTTGTGAATTAGAAATGGAAAAAAAATGTATGTCAACTGCAAATATATGCATACAACATACTGTACTTAATAGTATGGATCTGGCTATTTAGTATAAATGTATGGGTGTGTATTGCTCATTCTTGGGTCCTCTACTAGAGTCCTGAGTGTCTGAGAGTTCTGTGTGGTTGGCTGTTTCTAAAACTTTATTCTTGGCTATATTAAGATTTTTGTTTTACAGGAACAGATGAACATGGTATGAAGGTACAGCAGGCTGCAGAGTCACTAGGCAAAGACCCATATACATTCTGTACATCAGTATCTCATCAGTTCCGTGCAGTATTTGATGCTCTTGACATTTCCTACACTGATTTTGTACGCACATCAGAATCTCGTCATGCTCATGCAGTAAACCATGTTTGGCTGCAACTGGAGGAAAAAGGATACATTTACAAGGGAACTTATCATGGCTGGTATTGCACATCTGATGAAGCATTTTTGAGTGATGGACAAACGGCGATGAAAACAGATGACAAAGGAAACCAGATCAGAGTGTCTTTGGAGAGTGGACATCAGGTATGGGCAAAAATGTAGTGCTCAATTCAGTAGAGTAGGAGAATAATAATGCTCAAAACCTCCTAGGCAAAAATTACAAGTCTTGATGATCACGGGGAACTCCAACTATTGCCAAACTCTTCACTAGTGAGGCAGTCGGGCAACAACTTTCCACAGGTTCCCCATGGATGTAAAGTGATCTGTGTGTATCCAAGACGCTTAAAGTATAATTCAGCGCTCCACTTTAGGGAGTCTTTTTAAGTGGACTGGTTTTTTTACCACCCCCTTCTTAATTCCCCATGGAATCTGATCACTTTGGCATCATGCTACAAAGATCTAATGCCAGCTTCTATAGGGGATCTTTGGTGGCACATTGGAACGTCATAATTTAAGGATGAGACATAGAGCAATAGCTTTCCTGAACCTGCCTCTGCATAGAATCGCTGTGATAAGCTGCAGGCAGACTCTGTGTTCAGTGCACACACTGATCAGTTGCAGACAAAGAAACAAGAAAGACAAACAAAATAGATATAAAACTAAAATTAGATGTTGGATAGATTTGAGTGCAGCTAACTGTTTTTTTTGCCTCAGGCAGTAAAATCCTGGCAGCAGACCTGATGGGTACTGTAACGAAGTGCCTGTACCTAGAGCAGTATCTTAAAGTTATAGTGATTTCAGCTGTTTAGAAAAAGTACAAACGATGTACAAAATGTGGGCTTAAAGTGTGTGCATATTTAAATCCAAATTGGGAAAATGGTTTAAGAATTAACAAAAATCGTGTAAGTCAAATTAAAGAGGTTGAAGCCATATTTGGATAGGAAAAGGGTTGTATTAGTTTTCATTGTCAGCACTTTTTATAGGTAGTCTGTTGGCCCCTCCTTTTCAAATGAAATCTCTTGAATGCAAACCATATATACAATGATCAACCAAAATATTAAAACCACTGACATGTGAAGTGAATAACATTAATTATATAATTACAATGATATCTCATTTGACATGTGCCACTTACCTAGAGATTGTTGCAGATCACGTACACCCTATAACAATAGTTTTCCCTGATGGTAGTGGCCTGTTTCAACACGATAATGCACCCTGCCACACTGTATAAATTGTTCAGGAATGGTTTGAGGAATAGGACAAAGAGTTCAAGGTGTTGCCTTGGCCCCCAAATTCTCCAGATCTCAATCTAATTGGAATAACAATTCCATGGATGCCCCACCTCACAACTTGCATGGCTTAAATCATCTTCTGCTAATGGATAGTTCTAGACACCACAGGACACGTTCAGAGGTCTTGTGGAGTCCATACCTCAAGCATCAGCGCTGTTTTGGCAGGAAAGGAGCTGGAAGGCTTAATTGCTTTGTTACTGTCTTTTCTGCTCCTCTCATGACATTTGTTTAATGAGAGGGCTGAACTAGATGGCGGAGAATACATGAATATCACCCATTATCATTATTTGCAATTATATAAATAAATGTAGATTTATTGTTGGACATTTTGGAAATGTTTACTTCAAACATTGTATTACACTTATGCTTATTTCACTTATTTCGCTCATTCCTTGTATAATCAGTTTAACAGTTATTTATTTTTCTCAGGTGCACTGGATGAGTGAGGAGAACTACATGTTTCGTTTGTCCACATTCCGTCCCTTGCTCCTACGTTGGTTGCAGACAGAACCAGTGCGTCCTGCCAATTTTCAACGTATTGTAAGCCAGTGGCTAGAGGATGAACTTCCCGATCTGTCTGTGTCTCGGCAGCGTAGTCGTCTTACTTGGGGTATACCTGTTCCTTCTGATCCATCTCACACCATTTATGTCTGGTTTGATGCTCTAGTTAATTACTTAACTGCTTCTGGATACCCCAATCCACATTTGGCACCCTGGGGCCCCTCTACCCACATCTTGGGTAAGGACATTTTACGTTTTCATGCTGTATACTGGCCAGCATTCCTGCTTGCTGCAGGCCTGACACCACCACGGACATTACTTGTCCATTCTCATTGGACTTGTGGAGGAGTTAAAATGTCCAAAAGTCTGCAGAATGTAGTGGATCCAATAGAATGTGTGAAAAGTTACACAAAAGATGGCCTCCGCTATTTTTTACTGCGCAGTGGTGCCCCAGACCATGACTGTGATTTTAACCATTATACAGTCCGCACATTGCTAAACTCGGAGCTTGCAGATGCCCTAGGAGGACTGTTAAATCGATGTACAGCACACACCATAAATCCCATGCAGCGTTTCCCCTATTACAACCCTGACAGTATACCATCCTCTGTTCATGACCAATTGCAGGATTTATTGAGATCATTGCTGGAGCTGCCAGCAGAAGTGCACCAATGGGTGGAGAAATTTCAAGTGAACAAAGCCTTGGAGGCAATTGATGCCAAAGTACGACAGACTAATGCTTTTTTTCAGTCCCAGGCCCCATGGAAGCTTTACAAAGGAAATAATAAAGAAGTTGCCTGGGCTGAATCTGTACTTTATATCTCACTTGAGGCAATGAGACTTTATGCCACTCTGCTGCAACCTGCAGTTCCTGGTCTTGCTAATGTTATTCTAAATCGTCTTGGGGTTTCCCTTGCCCACAGAACACTGAAAGAAAACCACTTCTTAAATGCTGCCTTAGGAAGGCACTGTTGCTTTCAGGGTCAATCTTTGGGGCCTGACTGTGGACTGCTATTTCCTAGACTAGAAAAAAAAGATGGCGAGGAACAATTTGCAGTCCGCAAAAAAGATTATAGAGAAACACAATTAGTTTAACTTTTTTTTTTTGCACTATGTACTTTGAATTATTTCTTCCTTTTTATTTGCAAATCATCTACATTGATGCTGATATGAATAGAAGATATTTATTACATCTCTGCATTTGTCTATAATAATGATCATTAAGTCATAATTTAAAATATGAAAAAATAGGGACATTGAAAGAACTGTTTTGTTTAATAATAATAATTTGAAATCACATATCTTGGGGAAGGGTGGGGGGGGGGATCTATATTTATTCTGGAATTGCATTACAGGTGTCATCTGTTTTTGGCAAACACAGATAACATATTGTCAGTATAATTTAATTGTTTAAAATCAAAATATTTTTTTCAATTGTTGATGTGGTGATTCTGGACAAACTATATATAGCAAAATGTTGTTAAAAAAACCCCATCATTTTGTTATATATGTCTCCTTAGTAACAGTAGTGCGCACAGATAAAAATATATTACAACTCACTAACCCCATTGTTATCTCAAAAGACAGAGGTCCCCCTTATCCTGTTCGTTCTGGTTCTTGAATCAGTCCTGCAGTGGATCATGGAAAAAACTAAAATCTTTTTGTGAGGTTTCACTGTCTGATAAGAACTACAAGGTCTCTGCTTTTGCCAAAGACTTCCTATTCAGGCTTTCAGACCCACTATGCTCAATACCACACATCTTTACACCAAGGTCTCTAACTTCGAAGCCAACCTGACTAAATGCGAAATCCAAACCTGTTACAACGCACACTTCAACGAGGCTTCAATTTCGTATGGGCTGACACCTGTATTAAATATTTGAGTCTCCCTACCCAACACCCTGACATGCCTTAACTTCCCATCGTTACTTCACTGTATCACAACAATATTTCAACACAGTTCTCCATGCTAGAATCTACGATTGACTCTTTCTTCAGAGTCCCAATTTTCACAACCCCCTGGCATAAATCGGGACACTACCACCATCCAACTATTACTCCCACATTGAGAATGTGGTCACACATGAGGCACAACCAAGACCTCTCTCCTTACCCATCACTGCTATACCCAATATAGCATAATCCTCTGTTTAAACCTTCCCCTGAAAACCATACTTAGTGAGTAGGGTGTCATCCCCCACCCGTAACAGTAATATAAATTACTCAATCACTAGCGACACACGCTTCTCTCCCCTTATATTATCTATTACTCTTTTGTTTAATAAAACAAAACTGTTTTACTAATTCGATGACAATGTGCACCATAAACTTTAGGCACACACTCTCAGTGTTTGTAACTTTACACTCCGTACCAGACATTATAACTATTCTGATACTTGCTTGCGTTTGTCTGCGTGGACTTGATAACTTCTTCGAAGCTTACATGTTCCATGTTACAGGAGGTAGCCTCCACTCACTAGTCTACCCACCACCATTAATTTCCGCACTGCTGTATGCTATCAGACTGGTGATATGCATTGTGAAAGATGACCCATGATCAGGGCCAGGCTACGGCCCCCTGAATGAGCCCTGTCATGTGGAAGACTCTTGATAGCTCCATGTTCCCTATTCTGTTTTGGGTAACCTGCACCTAATTTATGTACTAATGTATTCTGTTTTATGTATACACTACTCGATTTTGTACTATTGTAATACACTGTATGTAAAATTGATATTTACAAAATAAATATATTCGAAACAAAGTTACACCAAGCAAATCGATGAAGCATAGTACTTACTGTTCTAAGAAAGTAACAATATTTATGTTCGGAGGGAGCTTTTGATAAAGATAATACAATGCAATTTTGAGTTGGATTACAAAGTCTCTATGTTGCCTTAGACAACTGGTGCCCATAGGTAGATCCATAGATTTTTTTTTTTAAATTTATTTATTTTTAACTACAGCTTCTATGATGCATTGTCATTCTAAAAGCATTCAAAGCATCATGGGAGTTGTAGTTTTTGGGCAGCCCTGCCTAAGACATAGTTTTGGGTCATTTCAAGTCACTAGGCCTCTTTTTTTATTTGGAGAAGAAATAAAAACCACTTTTAATGACTGGGTCATAAATGCATCCCAACTCTGGCTGTGTGTGTGTGTATATAATTAGAGGAGACTGGTTTGGAACACAAATAATGTTTAGGCAATATGCCCCAAGGGTGTCGATAACAATTAAAATTCCCCCCATAGAGGAACTCGTATAATGGTATTATTATAATGGTATCAAAGCCATTCCAAACCAGTTAGCTGTGCCAAAAATAAGCAGCAAAAGCACTTCTAATACATTTTAATTAACATGGGAAAAACACAGGTGTCGGTCTCAGAATACTAGCCCTATTAACCTTAGCACTGCAAAATTACCTACTAGTACTTACCAGAATCAGCTGCCCACTAAAGGAGCTCTATAATGCCAGGAAAACAAACTTGTTTCCTGGCACTGTAGGGTTATTAGGTTCCCTCGTGGCCCACGGGGTTGAAACCTCTTCAGTCACTTACTTTAACCCAGCTCCCTTGGCGCTGGTGACCTCTGCTCCCCCTGCCGACGTCCGCTCCGGAGTGGTGCCGAATGCGCATGTGGCTTTTCTATGGGTATCTGAACTCGCACTACATGAGTATTTTATTAGGGTTCCACAAAACATCAATTGGAGGTTTTTTTTTTTTTTTTTAATCTAACAAAGTTTAATTTTCAACAACATGAATACAATTCTTAAAGGGACACTAGTCACCAGAACCACTGCAGTTTAATGTAGTGGTTTTATTGTCTACAAGCTGTCCCCATAGGCTTTTCAATGTAAACACTGCCTTTTCAGAGATGCCTCCTAACACCTCTAGTGACAGTCACTCAGACGGCCACTTGAGGTTCTTCCCAGCCAGTGCCACACAATACGCTCAGCGTCTCCATGCTCTATGAGGAGATGCTGATGGCGCCTGGCGTTTTGCTGCACATTAGTCTCCCATTGCTATGGGAAAGCAATGGCTTGGCTAAGATTATAAAGATTGATGATTGCAGCCATGTAAGGCAAGACTGGCACGGCATGGGGAAAAAAAACACCTTTTCTATGCGATCTCTGATCGCATAGAAAAGGTGTTTTTTTCCCCATGCCGTGCCAGTAATCTAAACAGACAAACACCCTGATACTGACATGCGCACACACACACATTTTCTCATACACTCACAAATTACTTTTTTAAAATGTATTATTTAAGTCCACCCAGCATCCCTGCCTTTGTAAAAGCTTGTATACCAAAAAAATGATACTGCACTCAAAAATATCAGATAGAATTCATTACTTCATATAATTAATTTTAGCAAATTTGATAATATATACAAATAAGTCAAACAATATGTTACTCCATGTAACTAAAGTCCCCCAACCACAGATTTGTAAATAATCAATAATGCTGAACTGCATTAATATGTCTTAGAGTCCAAAGTACCATCCAAAAAAGCAAAAAGATGTATCAAAAATAAAAAAAATGCAAAAAAAAGAGTGCCTGTACATAGAACTTTTCTTGTAAAAGCTTGAGTGGATCCATTCCATGGGGTCCAGTGGGGCTGCTGTAATCTTCAAGCTCTGCTCACTTGTGTTCTGCTTAGCGGTGCCGGGGTGACATCATGATGCCAGCATCATTAAACAGCACACGAGAGAGCAGAGCAAGAAGAGCTGGACGGTTACTGCTCCCTCGGCTGTCCAAATCCGCTGAAAGGACTGACAAACACCCAGGCGCCAGGACAAAATTTCTAATTTCCATGGTGACCTGGCGTGTGGGATTTGTAGAGCCCTGTATTATTATTAGCTTTTAGGTATCAACTACACACTATATAGTCATAAGAAGATCAAAGTACACCCACTTTGATGGTTTTACATATTATTATTATTTTATTATTTATATAGCGCCATCAGATTCTGTAGCGCTGTACAATGGGTGGACTAACAGACATGTAATTGTAACCAGACAATTGGATGTACAGGAGCAGAGAGGTGGAGGGCCCTGCTCAATGAGCTTACATTCATAATAACAATCATCTGTTCCTTAGCAGGTCCTAAAATTAGGTAAATACAAGTTCAGGTGAACAACACCTGACATTTTACACCGTGTCATGATTTATCCTCCTCAACACACCCACAAATAGAAACCAAACTAATAGAAAAGAGTGAAGTGCATAAAGTACAATTGGTACCACAAAATGCCTTATTATCAATGGTGTATAACTACACAAACTTGAACTAAAGAAAAAAAAATGAAAGAAATATACAATAATGTAAAATCATGTTTCTTATACAGTTATATACTATTGTATGTTTTGTTTTTTTTAGTTAAAGTTATACACTATTAATGTTAAGGTATTTTTGGTACCATTTGCACTTCACTTAAAATAAGGACTCCACTGTTTTCTATTTGTTAGGTTAATAAATATATTTATGCAAATAAAATAGAAATAAATATATAGAAAATTTAAGAACCCGCATGATGGATAGACTGAAAGACCTGAAGTTAAAATTGTGAAATTGTGCTTCATTAGCATATCCACAAATCCAATTCACATTGACGAATAAACATGTTGAAGGATGACCAAGTTCCAGCTTTCTGCTGAAGCATTAACCACGGTAACCCAGGACGCTACAACTGTTCTAGTTGAATGAGCCCATAATCCTTCAGGTACTGTAATCTGTAGACATATGAAATAGCCATTATAATCCATCTTCTCAAAGTCAGTGCGATGCCTCTTTACCTTTATGGTGTCTAATTGGTAAAGCAAACAATCTAGAACATTTATGAAAAGATTAAGTTAGTCAATATAGCATGGACCACATCCAAGTTGTGCCAAACCTCTTCATTTGGTGAGGAGTTAAAGTTATGTCCTGAGTCAGATGAAATTTGGAAACCACTTTCGATACAAACAAGGTGTAAAAATATTTGCCATATACATTATGATTTCTGAAATTGAATAATAGCTTCATAAATAAATAATATGGGATTTATTATATAACAAATGTATTGCAGGAGATATACTGGTCAGTCATGTTAATATTAAATTAATATTTAAATAAACAAAGGCAAAATCTTGGTAAAAAGCATAAACTAAATTTTACTGAAATTAGTTATTTATATACAGTGAGAGAAAAAGGTATTTGACCCCTGCTGATTTTGAACTTTTGCCCACTGACAAAGAAATGATCAGTCAATAATTCTAATGGTAGGTGTATTTTAACAGTGAGAGACAGAATAACAAGAGAAAAAAAAAATCCAGAAAAACACGTCAAAAAAGTTATAATTGTTTTGCATGTCAATGAGTGAAATAAGTATTTGACCCCTTCAACTTAGTACTTGGTGGCAAAACCCTTGTTGGCAATCACAGAGGTCAGATGTTTTTTGTAGTTGGCCACCAGGTTTGCACACATCTCAGGAGGGATTTTGTCCCACTCCTTTTTGTAGATCCTCTCCAAATCATTAAGGTTTCAAGGCTGACTTTTGACAACTCGAACCTTCAGCTCCCTCCACAGATGTTCTATGGGATTAAGGTCTGAAGACTGGCTAGGCCACTCCAGGCCCTTAATGTGCTTCTTCTTGAGCAACTCCTTTGTTGCCTTGGCTGTGTATTTTGGGTCATTGTCATGCTGGAATATCCATCCACGACCCATTTTTAATGCCTTGGCTGAGGGAAGGAGGTTCTCATCCAAGATTTGACGGTTTACGGCCCCGTCCATCGTCCCTTTGATGCGGTGCAGTTGTCTTGTCCCCTTAGCAGAAAAACACCCCCAAAGCATAATGTTTCCACCTTCATGTTTGAAGGTGTGGATTGTGTTCTTGGGGTCATAGGCAGCATTCCTCCTGGTCCAAACACAGTGAGTTGAGGCCAAAGAGCTTGATTTTGGACTCATCTGACCACAAAACTTTCACCCAGTTCTTCACTGAATCATTCAGATGTTCATTGGCAAACTTCAGATGGGCCTGTACATGTGCTTTCTTGAGCAGAGGGACCTTGCGGGCGCTGCAGGATTTAAGTCCTTCACGGGGTAGTGTGTTACCAATTGTTTTCTTGGTGCCTATGGTCCCAGCTGCCTTGAGAGCATTAACAAGATCCTCCTGTGTAGTTCTGGGATGATTCCTCACTGTTCTCATAATCTTTGAAACTCCACGAGGCGAGATCTTGCATGGAGCACCACACCGAGGGAGACTGACAGTTATTTTGTGTTTCTTCCATTTGCAAATAATCGCACCAACTGTTGTCACCCTTTCACCAAGCTGCTTGGCGATGTTCTTGTAGCCTATTCCAGCCTGATGTAGGTCTACAATCTTGTCCTGACATCCTTGGACAGCTCTTTGGTCCTGGCCATGGTGGAGAGTTTGGAATGGTGTCTTTTATACAGGTAATAAACTGAGATTAGGAGAACTCCCTTTAAGAGAGTGCTCCTAATCTCAACTTGTTACCTGTATAAAAGACACCTGGGAGCCAGAAATCTTGCTGATTGATAGGGGATCAAATACTTATTTTACTCATTACATGCAAATCAATTTATAACTTTTTTGACATGCTTTTTTACTGGATTTATTTTGTTGTTGTTATTCTGTCTCTAACTGTTAAAATACACCTACCAAAATTATAGACTGATCATTTTTTTGTCAGTGGGCAAACGTTCAAAATCAGCAGGGATCAAATACTTTTTCCCCTCACTGTATAAAAAGACAAGAAAAAAAAAACCCTGCATGAAACAAAGCAAATACACTGCTAAAACAATATATAAAGTGAAAAGCTACCTCTCTCTAATTGGTGAGACACAATCTTACACAGGATGAATGGATCAGCATCAGACACAGGACAAAGAGGTGAGTTCCTTGTCGCATGTTCAGAAGATCATGGAAAACTCTAGAGACATCTGGCTTCTTCCTCAATTCCTGATTGCTGCTTTTATAGCGCTCTAAATTAGTGACTGCCCAGTGAGGTCTATCAATCACTTGACCAATAGCCACAGCTAAACCTGTAACCTGTAGGAGGTGACTAGTGTCTTAAGTAAAGGCGAATCCAAGATTATGCCATGCTTTGGAAGGAAATAACTACAAAAACAAGTCTATTCCATCTAAAAGTACATGGCTCATTAGATGTGCAGCAGCCATCTTAACTGATTCAATATCACCTTACTCCATGGACCACCTAGGGGTAAGAGATATTACTGCACATGAATGAGAACATTTAAAATGTGTTATTTGTTTCTAACCAGTACCCTAGGGAACTGGTCTACAGGAGTACTCTACAGTGGAAGGTGGCTCCCACAATAATGTCTGGATTTTACAAATCCTCCTGGCTGACGTTAGAGCCACCAACAGAAGTAACTTCTATGATGGAACAGTCAAAGAAATTGATTGTAATGGTTCAAACTATGTTTTGATCATATCCTGTAGTGCCAGAGGGACTATTTAATTTGTCTCCCACATTTGGAATTGGTGTAGGACCTACTGATATTGGAGTACTGTGAAGTAGTGGTGGGTTTAACACAATATGGCCATATGGTGGAACTGAATCCCTATATTTGTTTTCTTAGATAGGCGATTTTAAGTACAGAGAGGTCAGACATTTGAACATTCTGTATGTTATAGCTAAGGACTGTCTAGAACCGACAGAAGAAAACTTAAAATTATAAAGATTGATAGGGAAATTAAACTTACCTCTTCTTTAGCAGCCCAAGTTACAAAGGCTTGCCAGATCCTATAGTACATAGAGTATGTTGAGCATTTGTGAACCTTTGATAAGATGCTGATTAACGATTCTGGTATACCTAGATTCAATAGAGAACCCCACTCAACCTCCACACCATAAATTGAAGGGAACTAAGGTCTGAATGTAGTAGTGGTTCCTGATCAGTAGATCTTGTAGAATTGTCAGTTCCCTGGAAGTTTCCCACCATATCCGAAGTGCTATAAGTAAACCAAGTTTCCCACCATATCCGTATTGCTATAAGAAAAACATCTCGGTCAATAAGGTTTGATCCCAATCGCCTCTATTTTCTCTTTTTGAATGTTTCTTATGGTTCTAATTATTAGCGATATTGGAGGTAATAAGCAAGCTGAAAATTCCATTGTTCAGACAGAGTATCCTGGCTAAGAGCTTTCTGGCCATAGTCCAAGATAAATTTGTCACTACCTGATTGTTGTTTGATGTTGCAATCAAATCTATTTGTGGCTTAGCCCATAATTTCGTAAATCCTTGAAATATTGGACAGGCAAACTTTCATTCATATTTGTCTATCTCCATCCGACTGAGGGTGAATTCATAAGTTCTTTCTTCCTGGCAGTTGTTCCTGCCACCACGCTCCAGTCTGACGCTGCACGCTCCAGAGCAGCATCCTTATATGTGTGCCGGACCCGGTCATGTGACCAAACACACAGTAATGACCTCAGAGATAAGGGAAGGAAGAAAATCCTCCCACGTGTTGTGGTTAACACTAATTGGAGGTTAGCCAATCAGACACACTCTGTGTAACCTCCCCTTTGCCTCAGTGCCCTGTTGTGGTCTTTGGAGGGAGAGGGGAACTGCAGGATTCTGCAGTGCCAGGAAAACAGGTTTGTTTTCCTGGGACTGGAGACTCCCTTTAAGGCACAATCTTAAAAATCTTTTGCTATAAAAATGTGGAGGTACACATCTTTCAGATTCAAAGAAGCTAGAAAATCCCCCTTTCTAATCAGATGATTTGCTCAATGAATGTTTCCATCCTGAATATTTTCCTTGACATGAATCCGTGTACTCCCTTGACTGAATCTGTGAGGTCCAATATAGGATAAAAAGATTAATCTGGTTTCTTTACGACAAAAAGTCTTGAACAGGGACCTTGGCATTTTTCTTATTTAGGAATTTGTTTTATGACCGGTTTTATTTGAAAATCTGAAACTGATTTTTTGAGAAAATTACTTATATCTGTAGATAAAAATTCGAGCAGAAAAATATGTGAGGAGGAAGACTGACAAATTCAATTTCATAACCATATTGAAAGTGTTTTAGCACCTAAAGATTTTAGTTTTTCCCTGCTTCCCACTAACCTGGTGTGATGGACCGCCTGGCACCCTGAGCCAATCGATGCTCACCGAGGACTCCAAGCACTCCACCAGACATCATCAGCACCGTAGTCCTCACTTCCAGCGTTACAGCTTGGCTGGGGTCGCCGTCCTCCACCCATCCTGGACCCAAGACCAAGATCCAGCTTCCAGTGGGTGAACCTCTCCTACTCCAGAGAGTATAGCAGGAAAATCTCTTATAAGAGCTAGTGATTATAATCCATGGGGAGTATATTGATTTAGCAATCCCCAGAGTAGATACAGCTGTTTCCTCCACACATGAGACGAGGCTCTATGTTGAGGGTAAGCAGGAACTCGTTTAATGGTAGCCACAACTGGACTTATATGCAAGTCCCCATGCAAGGTGCACTCCCCTCTGGACCTGAGAGTAAACCACAGTATAAACAAATACACAATTACATTGACTCTCAGATCCAGGACACTCCCACACATAATAGATTAATCCCTCCTCTGTACCTGGGAGATAATTGAGTCAAGCACTAGACTAAACTCAATTATCTCCAAACACATAACACAGATTTTTATAAAACCCCCAAAATACCTTTAAAAAAATACAAAACCCCCACAAATGTTACATCCCCTGATTGCCCTGATCTGGGTGACCAACATATCCAAAAATCACCCAGATCAGTTCAGGAATTTCCTGGAAGTCATTTATTTGACCGACTGCACGCATGGTCCCACGCCCAAAATATTTCCAGAGAAACAGGGCTTGAGGTCGGTCTAGTTTGGTAGTTTAAAAATGAATAAACCAACAAACATAGTCAATGTTCTTACCCTGGAGCTTGTTCCCCTCATCCAGACGAACGATTCCACTGAACAGTGCCCTTCTAACTTGTATAGAACCGAACGCAGGCGATGATGGAAGTCTGGTGGTGTTCGGGAGTTTCTGTGTCCGATTTTAGTTCCATGAGATTCATGCCCAAACACTGCTGCCTGTGTTCATGCGAACAAGATGGCCGTCACCTTGTGGTTGTCCATAGGAATTGCGGCCACCCAGACGAACAATTAGAACACTGCGGTGAGAACCGTTCCAAGTTGTTAATAGGTGTTAACAAGCTCCCGAGTGGCCCCTGGTTCGTGCGGTTGTTCGGTAGTCGAACGGGACAATGTTAAAATAGGCGGGGAATGCAATCTACAGAACAGAATAGCAAAAAAGGCATGAACAAGGTCTTTTATGAGCCTTTTTGCATGGCCCATAGTCCTGAGGCAGGAGGCTGGCAAACAGGCCCCTCCAAGAACCAGTGGCAAGGTTCCTTTCGTCACACCTGGTGTCAGAAAACTTCTATTAAAATTGGTTGATTTTTGTTTTTCTCCTCAAATATTTGACTGCTGAAACTGGGGTATTTTCTTTTTATTGCAGGGACTTTTTTTAAAAATTTGGCCATAGATTTTCATAAATCATCCAATTTTTTTCTCAAAATGCAAGTCAAAAAGGGCATCTGCTGACCAGGCCTGAATCTAAAATGCTCTCTACCTACAGTAGCAAGCCCTATGTTCCTTTATGCTAGTTAAAGACTTTTGCCAGAAGAATCACAAAGAAATTATAAAGCCAGTTCAATGTTGTGCAAAAGTTTAACGGATCTTCAGATTGTTTTGTTAGTTTAAGCAGTAAGTACTGCAGATAGCAGGTTTATATCTCAAGTTAAAATTAGAATAGGACAGACAATTGTTGGTGTACTGTGACAAAGTATTGGGCTTACACAATATGGCCATATGGTGTAACTGAATCCCCATATTTGTAAAATGTAAACAAAAACAAAAAGTTGTGTTAACGTTGTTCATTAATCTATATTTTGTATATATTTTGGTCTCTGTGGCAGCACCACTACTGAGAAATGCATTCATTTTCCTTATTTCATATATTCCACATGATGCAGACATGATTTACAAACAGCATTTGCAAGAAATACCTTAAAAAATATTAAGGAATTCACAAACTTCCTGTAAACAAAATGGGGATTTTATTTCAGAAGCTTGTTGACAGGCTGATGGATGTAGTAATGCCATACATATCGATGTACAGACAAATTAATGTATTCAGAAAATTGCTCATGTGTGTACATAAAAACACATTTCACTAAACAAAACACTTGAGCTGAAGTTCCAGCTCCAGCAACAGACATTTTAACATGTTTAAGGAGTCAATAAATCCCTAATAATCTACAATTAAAACACCCAGATAGGCTTTTTCCAAAACTGCCAAACTTGCCATGCCAGTCCATCATACTTATGTCAAGTTTTTTTTTTTCCAAAAACAACAAAAAAATTGACCTGTAAGTCCTGGGATTTGTGACTTGACCAACTTTTACATATTTTAATGATCCACAGAATGTTTGATTGACAAAAGATGCATTAAAATGCGACTGAATCTCACCTGCAAGCTAGAGCATTAAACATGTACTATAGTTTATGAATAAGCCAAATAAGCATTATCCTTTGCAAATTGAAATACTAAACTTTAAATAAATTACCAAAATTAAAAATCTAAATTAAATTCTGAAACACAACATTATCAGTCTCTATTTTGTACCAGAGATCAGTGTCTAAACTATACTTAAGTTTTCAAATTTGGAAAATAAAACTGGCAAAATAAATAAGACAGCTGAAAACATTATGCATTTAACAGCCCATAGAGCTGTTCATAGAAAAATATACTTTAAATTAGCATTACTCAAACACAGCATCTGTGCTCTAGTACTTTATTGGTCAGTATAGATTAATACAATCCATCTCCCACCGCCTTACTACAAGCTTTGCAAGACCCATACAACCAACATTCCATATACACCATTCTTACTTACAATTTTCCCAAGATTCATTAAATCTCCACTTTTACCAATGTAGTACTCAAATTAACAATCTATTGTCTCACAATATTCAACCAGCTTCTCCTACTATTCACTATACATTAGCCTCTTTTTCTCCACATTCCAACCTAGTATTCCACGTGTCCCTCCCTATTGCTCATAATTTCAACAAAATCTCACTTGCCTTTCTCTTCCCTTAGCCTAATATTCTATTATCCTCTTTACAACCCATCACTCCATAATTTTCCACCAGCCTCAATACTTTCATCCCCAAATATTCACCATCTCTTCCCCATGCTACCCAATGCTTCAGCCTCATGCTCAACTCCTATGTTACCCCAGTATTTCACCATATATATATTCCACCTCTTTCTAACCCTTAATATCGACTCCCAATATTACCCCAGGGCTTTTCCGAAACATCCTACAATCCTCTTGTACACATTACTGCACAGAAATTCTTACCCCAATACTCACTATATACCACCCGTTTATTTTGTCCATACCAAATATTCCTATATTGTTGTATCAGCTTCTCTTCCTAAACACTGTAACCATCCATTGATATTCCACCATTCTCTCTCTACCCTATACACCGCTCTCAGATATTTCACGTCTCATTTTACTGTCATACTACCACCCAATAAGAACACTGTCTTTCTCCCTACCTGCCAACACAAATCCCCATTACTTTATGAGTTTTTTTCTCTTTATCCAACACACTCTGTTATTTTACGAGCATTTCACTATACACCACTTCCAAAACTACTCACTCTCTCTCCCACACCCAACATAAAGCTAGCAAATCTACACCCTACCACCTTAACACTCTCTCCTACACCTATTATTCACGATTTATACTATCCCAAACCACACAAAATTTTCCACTGGCCTCTCATATGTATTACCACTTACATTCCACCAGACTCTCTTTCCAACACCTCACAAAACATCTTTAAGAATATACCACCTCTTCCTATATATTTTCAAATCATCTCACAATAGTCCACCATTCAATCTCTGTACCATCCATACTCAAACGTCCCTGTGATGTATGAAACCATCCTATTATACACTATGGTAGGAAGGTCAACACTGGTGGGTCCACAGAGCAGGGAGCAGACACAATCTCTTCTACCTTGCTTGTACCAGTGCTTCCTGAGTCTAAGCATCCAGGAGATGATCTGCCATTGTTTTTCCCAGTGCACTGAGTTAAGTTTTCATATTATGGAGCAAACATGCATCTGTACAAGAAACACTGATCCATAGCTTCAAGCTGTGCAGATTGCTTTCACAAGCCAAGTATACATGACAAGCTCCTGTCACTCACTGCTTTGATTAGCCCATTAGTAGTGCATTGGACCTGTAAAGTACAATTTAATAAGGGGAATGTGTGTATATACAATATCATGTTTAGACAAATTCAAAAGAAATATAAATTAAAGAATATTACATAGATTTCTTTTTAACTTTGCTTAACAATATTGAGCACCACATCAATGCAGAAATTTACATCCGGACTGCTTCTAATGCCAACTATCTTTCGATACTAAACTTAAAACATTTGTTATGGTTTATAGCTGTGCATTGGTGTTGTAAGGGAGAGCTGGCCATTTTGTGCTACTTCACTTGCATCATCTTCCAGTAGGCCTGAAACATCTGCATTTGGGATGCTGTCATGGTAACTGCTGAAGCTTATATTGTCTTCTTTCAGTTCAATGGTCCAAAATGGAGCGTTGAGTTTTTGCGTCTGATATTCTCTATACAAATAAACAACTCCCACAAATCCCATTAAAATAACCAATACAATGATAATAACAGTCAAAATGATAACATTGAACTGAGTCCATGATACATCTGCCAGAAAAGTAGTGCTGTTATCAGGAGAGCTAGATCTAGAAAATGTTTGTACAGTTGTTGAAATCAAATCTTTGCTCGATGTAAGGGGTTCCACTTTTGTAACTGCAGCTGATGTATTTATGAATGCATTTCCAAAGTCAGTGGTTGTTACAATTTCTAACAGGAAAAAGAAAAAAAAATATTAGAAATTAAATTATCAATTTAATTACGGAACATATAATTTAAAAATAATTCCGTTCTAGCCTACACAGTATACGGATAGCTTCTAATATTACTTAAAGGGACACTATAGTTACCCAGACCACTTCAGCTCAAGAGGGTGGGGGCCGAGGGAGCCCGGCGCTGGAAAAAGGTAAGCTGCTCAAGGGGTTTTAAAACCTTCAGCGCCACGGGAGGGAGACCCCGAGGGTGGGGGCAAATGAGAAGGTCTTGCATTCGCCCGGTCATTTCACTGCATCCCTTTCTTTTTGTTGTGTGGTTTGGAATGCAGCCTCAGTCTGTAACACCATGTGGTTTACTGCCTTTCATTCTCACACTATTAAACCTCTTGGCACTGAAACCTAACCTAACCCTCTGACTTTGCTACCCAAGCCTCTAGAGTGGGTTGCAGGTACTCTAGAGGCTTGGTGGCAAGGGGTTTTTGCTCTTCCCTTATTGTTATTTCCAACCTTTCCCCTCTTGTCCTAATCTTTCTTTCTCCGCATTTAAAGTACACTCCATCATTCTCTTCAATCCCCTCTCAGCTCGTTTTGTCATCTATCTCCATGATCATTTTTCTGATTGGTTTCCATATGACATTCCTTCTCTCATCTTTGGCAACTCCAACATCCCTAACAACTCAATTGCCTCTAAATTTCCATCACCTTCTTATTTGGCTTTATTTAATTGACTCTATACACACACATCTGGCAATACCCTCACACTTGTCTTTTCCAGGCTCTGTTTCTAACTTCTCTAACACATTCAATCCGTCTGACTATTATCATTTAACCAGCATCGTCAATCTGCCCCTCAGTCAACATCTTAAATCTAGCTCATTTCAGCTTATTCAAAATCTAAGCTCCCTTGATCTGCATGATTTGTCATCCTTTCATGTCCTATCCCTCTCAAACTGCAATTCTGTCCTGCCTTCCGCTCTAAACATAACTTCATCATGTAAAGCTCACTATAAAAGAGCCAGCCACGCCTTCAACCCTTGCATGGCAATCTCACACTCCATCTCCAACGATGTACTTGTACTGCTGAACATTATCGGAGATAGTCTTGCATCACACCTGACTTCTTAAATCAGAAATTCATGTATACAAATACTTTTATACTTCGGCCCTCAACCTTGTCAAGGAAGAGTATTTTACCTCTCTCATCTGCTCCTACTCATGATCCCAAACTCTTTTTTTTTTTTTAAATACCTTTAGTTCCCTTATTCACCCACTGCAGCCCCATCATCAACGATCCTTTATTAGTGATATTGCCTGTCACATTATTGACGAGTTTAATCAAATTAGGAATGCAATTCTCTCTCTTTGAGCCTTCACTCAGCTTCCATTCTCTGCCGTTTTCCATTCTAAACTCATTTCCCATTGTATCTAAGTATGAGGTCTCTAAACGTCTCCAATCCTCTTACCCCACCAAAGCCATCTTTTGACCATACTTATTCTTACCACCATCCCATATTCTCCCCCTTCACTTCTAAGCTACCTGTATTTACCCATCTTACTCACTTTTGCAATACTACCTCCCTTCTACTGAAACTTCTCTCAAGTGACTTATGACAATCGCTGCTAAACTAAAGGCCATCACTATCTTAATTCTGCTCAACCTCACTGCCTCTTGATATTGTTCACTACGGTCTCCTTAAAAACATCCACAAACATGGACTCCGTGACCCTGTTCTTTCTGAATCATTTATTGTCTCCTACTCTGGTACCACATCCTCAACAAAGTCTATTTCAGTTGGTATTCCCCAAGTCCTCTTTTACTCTCCACTTATAGTGCCTCTCTTGGTAACTTTATTAAATTCTTGGATTTCAAGTCCTCTGATCTCTCTCCTGAGAGACAGCGTTTCGGCTCCTGCATGAGTCTTGGTCAATTTTTTAACGAGACTTGACAAATGCTCATGTAGGAGCCGAAACGTTGGCTCCATTTCTGTGTTTTAAACAAAGACTGCCTTTTAAAAAGAAACCATTGGATGTGCCCGGACACTTATATTTAGTACCATTGGATTTCAGTGGGAACTTGGCCCTCCCTGTCTGGAGCACCCTGCTGGAAGTACCCCCTCTGTTAATAGGGACACTATAATCTTTAAAACTACTAACTTAATAAAGCAGTTTGTACGTGTACATCATGCATCTAAAGCTTTTACTGCTAAATTCTCTGCCATTTAGCTGTTAAATCACTTTTGTTTCTATTTATGCAGCCCTAGCCACACCTCCCCGGCTGGGACTGACAACAAATGATTTCATTTTGAATGAAATGTAACTTAACTGTTTATATCTGCTGCTTTGTAAATTCAACTTACATACAGTATGCTCCTGCAGGGTCTAGACAGCTATTAACAGAGCAGGAGATAAGAAATTCTAAAGTAAACAGAATTTGCAATAAAGGAAATGTAGACATAAGATGACTCTTTAAAAAGTGTTTACGAAGGCTGTGTAAGTCACATGCAGGGACGTGTACCTATGGCTGGATTACCAATGTGATTTAACACCTAAATGGCAGACATTGAGCAGTGAAACTTCAGAACCAAAACTGCACCGTCCTCTTTAACTGCACACAAATCCGTAGGCAGAGCAGTCGGCCTCACTCAGTAATTAAAATCTTACTTTCCTCATAGAGATACACTGATTCAATTTATCTCTATGAGGAGATGCTGATTGGCCAGGGGTGTGTTTGGCTTCTGTTGGCTCTGCTTCCTTGACAGCCTTAGCCTTAGGCTTGGATGTTTTTGTTTTTTTAGAAAACCAGAATATTTAAGGATATAATTAATAACAGCTCGTTGATCAAAGTAAAATAAATAAAAATAAATAAATGGATAGACATTATGGAATCCACAAGTATTTTTTTCCCCCCTCTCCTTTTGGGGCATAATTGGATATTGCTTCAAATTAAGGGTTTAAAAAGACATGTTTTACAGGTTTGAACTTAATTGACTGGAGTCTTTTTTCAACCCAGGTTACTAACCAACCCCCATAATGACTTGTCATTGTATTGGAATGACTCTTTTATTTGAACATTTTTCCAATTTTAGCTTTAAAAAAAAAAAACCCACAAACTATATTTCAAACAGTTTTTAGTGAATGAAAATCTTCCAGTCTTTGTTGTCTTATATGTGTTCTCTCAGGACTTTCTATGAAAAAGGCTGTACAGCACCTGCAAACATGAGGAAGAATACTCATATCCAATGAAACAGTTCACCACTCCTAAATTACATATTCCAAAAGCTTGTGTGGGGTGGGAGTTTCTGATATACACACAGCTTTCCCATTAACAATGGAAATTGACAATTTTTCTATTTTTTATAAATATATATTTAACATAAAAGATTACATGTATTAGATCCTGTGTATTATTTAGTTATAAATATCTATTTTCAGTAGCAGGCCTTGTAGATGGAGCAGCTGTCATTAAAGGGACACTAGTGGCCCAAACCAGTTTAGTTTATTAAAGTAGTTATGATGCCATAACAACTTAATCACTATGGAGGTTTCAGGTGGCTTATTTTACAAGCTTAATCTGTTAACTAAACAGTTTAACCCAAACCTTGGAAGACAGCTCTAGCTCGTTCTGCCTAGCTTCTTCCTGTCTTCGGCTGAGGCTTTATACAGTTAGTGTCCATGTCACCCAGTCCAAGGTTTCCTAATAGAAGCCTCAGGCTGATAAAGAAGTAGCTGAGTAAAGTGATGAGGTGCCATCTTACAATGGTGTAATCCGTTACGGTAAGACCACACCCAGGACCTCCTCGCCCCATAAGTTAATTGTGAATAAATTATAATTGTGTCCAGAGGGGTCCTTTAAGTTTGCCCGTTGTAAGACTGACATGATACAGCTTTAAGCACAAACCCTGTCAGTCAGCTAGCATACCAATGAGTTGCATAACCAGCACTAATGACAGAGACAAGGGCAGTATCTAGCCTCTGTGCATAACATGGAAGTTCCCCAACTCCAGTATGGTATGCATACTACGTGATGGGATATGCAACACCCAGCTTATTTATGGTCAAGGCTTTGAAAACAGAGAATTTAAGTGTCAGAAACAGGTTCCTGGTACCATAACCACATCAATAAGATGAAGTTTAAATGGTACCTAGAGTGCCCCTTAAGTCCCCTTGTTGGGTGTAGAGTTTAATCAATCAAAAGCTAAAGAGCAAGTTTGCGTTCATTAGTGAGTGCAACATCTGAAAAATGCACTCAATTTTCACATCTTTACATTATGCAAGGTCTCAGCAGATTAGCAGTGTTTCTGGCTAATGATATCTACCTCCACATAGCAAAGGTAAACAAAAGATTTACTAGTGTGCGTGCAAGTGTTACAAATGTATTTATTATAAAATAATACACACCATGGGATATAATACATGTAATATTTTATTACCAGTGATTATCATAAAAATAAAATGAGAAAGAAGTAGAATATAAAATGTTCCTTTACTATGGGTCAATGTCAGCCATGTAGTATTGCCAAGAGCCCCAGTTGTTTTGAAGAGCTAGGCCTACTACAGACAGCTCTATGGTTAATTTATCCAAATATGCGTTACCAGTGCACTTACATTTAGCATCCCTATAGAAAAGTATAGGAGAACAGATGGCCGTGGGGATTTTTCACTAAAACACAAGTTATTTTGTCTGTTGTATTATTACTGAAGTCCATTATATTTCATCTATACAGTAAGCTAAGAGAATTGCTAGCAAATGAACAGGAAGATAAACCTCATTTAAAAATAGGGCCCTCCTCAACCTGTCAATTCTTCAGCATAGATTCAGCAAAGACCTGAGCAGGAGAACCCACCTACAGCAAGTTTATAGTCAATTACAGCACACTGTTTAGTGAATAAACCCCTTTGTTTATGCTAACCAGGCAAAATGGTGCTGAGCACGTATATAATAGGATGGTGGACAATACAGAAATCTTTTTTTCTTAAATTGTGCTTTTCACTGTATTCATTACATTTTATTTTTTTCATTTTATTTCAAAAGGAGGCCAGTGGGGTTGTGATGCCCCCTTTTAAATCGCAGTATCTGCCTTACACTCACCACCAGTACTGCTCGATGTTGGTTCTTCTGCAAGGCCTGTGTTCTGAGTGAAATTTAATAACTGGGTTACAGAAATTGATTTGCCCCCTGCTCTAGTCAGTGTCTCCGGTGTGGGATTGACAGGTGCCTTTGTGTAATTGGGAATTAATCCTGGGCTCCAGCTGCTGGCCTCAGAAGGCTGGTCCCTGGGGGTGATCGCAGATGTGCTTAATAAAGACTCGGATGTCCGTAGGTCCTCGCTGGATGTACTATTCAAGGCACTTGGTCCGCTTCCATTAGAAGCCGGTACCGGTTCGGGTGTCGGGGTACCAGAGGCTGACAACCAATCCGTGCTCGGTGCTGTCGTCGTCGATGACAATTCTGTGTCATTGGAGCCCCTGCACTCATGGGCCAACAAAGAGGAAACTGCTAAAAATAACGTGAGCCTCGCTCTGAATATCATCCTCTACCTCACGGCCCCAAACCTCCAGCAACCGCATCCAGACTGCCGGACCGCATTTCCTCCACACCGGCAGGGCTCCCCTCGGGCTGGCAATGCAGAGCAATCAGACCACCTGCACCGCAATGACTCCCCCCTCCCCAGCGACAACCCGAAACACGGAGCGCAGCCGGCGGACACGAGCAGCGTGACGTCTCCTCGGCTTTCAGCCCCCTCTTCCCTTCCTCACTACCTTAAACACCGAACAGGTCACCTGCAGTTGACGGACAAAGCGGGCAGCCAATCACGAGCTGCTGTCGTCAACGCCTGCACACTCCTGCGTCCGCCCATTATTTTAGCCCCGCTCTCACCCTCACACAAAACCCCGTGAGAGACTGTACGGTGTGTGAAAGAGAGACGCTCGTAATGCACGTAGAGTGGCTAAAAGAGAGAGATAGAGCTGTTTGAAAAACTACAACACCCAAGATGCTTTGCCAGCCTTATGGCTGACAAGGCATCACAGGAGCTTTAATTCAACAGTCTAGCTGTGGGCAGCCTATCATTTGACAAAATTGACAGGCTGGTTGTTTAGCGTTTTGGAAGATAAAATCAGCAATAAAAAGTTTTCTTGTTTAGTGTAGCGATGTCCTCTACATTATGCGGCGTCTTTATTATACCCCTAGCAATAATGACAGAATTATTCCGTCATGAATGTCCTATGCGAAAGGACCCGTGACTGAATAATTCCGTCACACTAGAGCGCTGCGATCATGGGGTTAAAGGGACACTCCAGGCACCCAGACCACTTCAGCTAATTGAAGTAGTCTGGGTGCTGTGACCCTTTTGCACTTAGTGCTGCAATGTAAACCAAAGGTCCGGAATCCAAACCGACCTTTGGTTGGTTATCTGACGCTGCACGTCCTACCGGACCACCACATCCGATTTTCCACATAGGAAAGCATTGAATAATGCTTTCCTACAGGGAGGTCTAATGCACGTGCACGGCCATTGCCGCGCATGTCCATTAGGCAGGGCCGGATTAAGAGCACAGCGGGCCTGGTGCTGACAATTATGATGGGCCTAATTATGGAATCTTATCGACCAAAAACACTAAAACAATCATACCTCCCAAACGTCATGTATCTGATGGAGATGGTGCTGGAGGGAAACTCATAGGATGCAGCTATAATAAAACACATACCCTATGCTAATTTCTCTCTAATTTATGCTTTCATCTTTCAAGTACATCCATAACCCCTAACAGCAGTGGCCAGTGAAGCAGGAAGTCAATGGGCGGGGTAAAAGGGTGTGCCACTGGCGCGAATCACGTGACAAGACCTGCCAAAAGGGGTGAACATGCCCAAAAAGGGGGCATGTTTGTCCAAAGAATTGGAAGGTCAGTCTGGCATGAATGCATGTCAGGCTGCCTGCCAATCCTGCAGGCTGTCCAACTAAGGGCATACTATGCAGGCAGCACCTTGAGCTTGACATAAATGCATCTAATGATGCGCTCACTCCATTCTTTCTAAGGACTGTCCCCTAGCACTCGCTGGTCCACTTGTCTCCTTACCTTCTTACTAGCAGGCAGAAGTTCCTGGTATAGTCTGAGACAGAGAAAAGGTGTCTGTAGTGAGTGTAGAAGAAAGGGGACATGCCACAGTGTTAGAGAGACCAACGTCTGCATTACCTAAACTAACTTTAATGTCAGCCAGTGCACACAAGTTTTGTTCCCATACATGCCTCTTAAGCTTCCAAACTTAAAGGGACACTATAGTCACCAGAACAACTACAGATATTGTATTTGTTCTGGTAAGTAGAATCATTCCATTCAGGCTTTTTGCAGTAAACACTGTCTTTTCAGAGAAAATAACTCCACTGGCCGCTCCTTAGATGGCTGCTAGAGGTGCTTCCTGGGGCAGTACTGCCTAGTGTGCAGCACTGCCATTCAGTGTCTCCACCCTCTGCATGCAGACACTGAACTTTCCACATAGAGATGCATTGATTCAATTTATCTTTATGAGGAAATGCTGATTGGCCAGGGCTATGTTGGACTTGTGCTGGCTCTGCCTAGTTGACAGTCTCAGCCAATCCTATGGGGAAGTATTGTAATTTGCTCAGACCACCACTTCTGAGCCAGCAACTGCAGAATTGAATACAAGTAATATTTTACTATATTTAGGGAGGGAAGAAGGGGCCAGGGTGGTGGTTTTAACATAATAGGGTAAGAAATACATGATTGTGTTCCTGACATTATAGTGCTCCTTTAACCAAGAGTATGTGAAGAGTAGTTAAGGTTGCCACCTTTCTTGGAAAAAAATACCAGCCTTAATCATTTGTATAATTAATTAGTTAAGGGTGTAAATCACAAGGAGTGACATTAGAGAAAAGTCTGTAAAATCACCAACAAACTATTTACTGTTTGATTCTGCTGTATAGATGGATTGCTCCCAGTGTCTCCCTGTCTCCCAGTGTCTCAGTCTCGCAAGTCACCCAGTGTCTCAGTGTCCCTATGTATCACAGTGTCAGTGTCCCCATGTCACCCAGTCCCCTAGTCTCCCAGTGTCTGTGTCCCCATTTCTCCCAGTGTCCCAATGTCTCAGTGTGTCCCCATGTCACTATGTCACTAGGATACTGGGGACACTGAGAGACATGGGGACACTGAGACATGGGGGCACTGAGACATTTAAGGAAACTGGGAGGCATGGGGACACTGAAAGATTTGGGGACACTAAGACACTAGGGACACAGACATGGGAACACAGACACTGGGAGACTAGGGGACACTGGCTGGGAGACAGACACTTGGGGACACTGGGAGAAATGGGGACAGCTGTGGACATAGACATGTGGACACTGGGACATTTGGGACACTGGGAGACATGGGGACACCAGGCACACTGAGACACTAAGAACACAGGCACTGGGAGACATGGAGACACTGAAACATTTGGGAACACTAAGACACAGACACTGGGAGACTAGGGGACACTGGGAGACTAGGGGACACTGGCTGGGAGACAGATACTTAGGGAGACATGGGGACAGTTGTGGACATAGGGACACATGGGGAAACTAGGCTCACTGAGAGACATGGGACACAGACACTGGGAGACTTGGACACTGAGACACTAGGGACACTGGCTGGGGGACATAGTGTCTCAGTGTCCCAATGCCTCCCAATGTCCCTATGTCTCCCAGCGTCCCCATGTGTCTCAGCATCCCCATGTGTCCCCTAGTGTCTGTGTCCCTAGGTCTCACAGTGTCTGTGTCCCCATGTGTCTCAGTGTCCCCTAGTGTCTGTGTCCCCATGTGTCTCAGTGTCCCCTAGTGTCTCAGTGTCCCCATGTTTTGCAGTGTCCCCAAGTGTCTCAGTGTTCCCAGGTCTCCCAGTGTCTGTGTCCTAGTGTCTCAGTGTCCCCTAGTGTATGTGTCATCATGTGTCCCCTAGTGTCTGTGTCCCCTAGTGTCTCAGTGTCCCCATGTGTCCCCTAGTGTCTCAGTGTCCCCATGTGTCCCTGCTGCCTTTCCCCCCATCCCTCACTTACCTGAGCTGTACAGCTGCTGTCTGGACTCTCTGTGCTGTGTAGCTGCTCCCCCGCAGATCAGTGAGTAGTAGAGAGAGGCAGGGATATTCTGTAACTTCCTATCCCTGCCTCTCTCCACACACAGTGACCCTTACTGGCCGGTGCTGGTATTGCAGAGTAATTTCCATTTATTCTGAGAAAATTACCTGCATTTGTATTGCCGGTATTACTGCAATACCGACACGGCTTGGCAGCCTCAAATACCATCTGTGCCATTAAAATACCAGTCAGGTGGCAAACCTAAGAGTAGTGTGTAAAAAAAATAAAAAATAATAATAATAATTATTATTTTTTTAAATGGGTCTATTCCATGGGCCTGGGCCTGGGCCTGGAGCTGCAGCTGCAGCTCCATCAGCCCCTATGTTAATCCGGCCCTGCCATTAGGTCTCCCCCGCCGGTTGATGTTGGCGGGGGAGGAGCAAAAATATCAGGCTAACCCTGATAACCAGAAACAGTGGCTGACACTTGAAAAGTCTCTCTTCCAACTACCTATAAAGAGTAAGACAATCCCATGGCACAAATCAGGTAGCCCCTTCCTTTCACATCTTCACTATACACACCTGACTGTCATGCCTACTTTAAGACTCTGGTCTTCTGTTAGGAAATCCCCAGACCTTTCCCCTCACCCGTCTCCCCTATATCCATTGACTCATAACTCACAATTTCCACCGGGTAGGTCAGCCAGCTCCTACAAAGCCTTTTTTGACAAAAACTACCTTAACTTAGGCTCAACAAGGTATTAAACCACTAGCTGTCCTCTTACCTAATACGTCTACCTCAATTTTACAAAACTTCTGCTACACCCAATTAACATACTTCCTTCATTCAAAACAGATTTTAAAAGCTATACAGAAACTTACAACCTTCAAATCACATTGTATGACTCATGATGTGAAATCTAAACACCTTTCAGTTTTTCTCTAATTTAGTTCAAAAACAACTCCGCAACACAGTACCCAATTTCATTACATCATGGACCCAGGACCTTAACATTTTGTATGACTCCAGAACAATGTAAACTTATTTTCTTTAATGTATATAAATCAACTATCCGCAATAATGTCCAAGAAGGTAATTACAAAAGACTAACAAGATCTCACTACTCTCCAACACATATCCATTGTTTCTTCAATGTTCCACTCCTTGAACACCTAGTTATGTCTTACATTGCTACTCGTAATTCTTGTCAAAGATAAAAAAAAAAAAAAAAAGTTACAGTAGGATAAATCACAGAAACACAAACAATTCCCCCTGGAATTGCTAAATAAATAAGCACCGCACCATATTTAAATACTTCCCTGTTTTTAATGTAACATCAATTGTATGGCACCCACACTCTGCATACTAGATGTGTGAAATGTTATTGCTGTCTATGTAGGACAATGCAGACACCAACCAAAGCTGTAAAATAAGTGCAGGTATTACTAAAAAAAAATCTGAGGTATGGGAAAAAAAAAAATAGAAAAAAGGTGTCCCGTAGTATCTGGTACATTAAGAACTTTTTTTCCCATTATTTTGTAATTTTTTTAAAAATACTTTATAATTTTCATGGTATATTTTTACATTTTTTTTTTAGTTATAGAAACTTACTAAAATATTTTATATATATTTTCTATGATAGCATTTTATTTATCTTTAGGGTGCTCTCAGTGATTGTGAATTTGTTACCTACTGCTGTTTGCTAATAATTGATTTGTATATGTTTGCCAAGTCTATTGAACTTATAGAGGACTTTTAACCCACAAATATTCCCTATTTCAGTATGCTGCCAGGTATCTGTGGAGTCAGGTATTCTGACCAAATCAGGCCACAAATGGGTCTGAATTGGTCAGGATTTCACCTGGTTTGAAGGCAAGCCAAATTACTGTAA